TTTAATGTGGGGAAACTGATATCAGGGTCGGTATCAATGTGTACCTGGTTCCTATGTCACTTGTATTTCCTCTAAATTGGAAGTGAAATCTAAAGGCTTGATTAGATTCCACTCAAGCACTTTTGGCTGGTCTGTACCATTGGTGATGCAGTGTTTGTCATTGTGTATCACCACGGGAAAATCATAATATCTGATTTTCCCTCTTGCAATCAGAAATCTTGATGTAAAATTTAAAACTAATTTATTTCATTGAAAAAGTAATAACTATGCATATTAATACATTTACATGCCAAAAAAGATATCAGAGAAAAGGAAGTCTTCCATACCAAACTTTCAATCACTCGTCTCCATTTCAAAGGAGGGAGGCATTCCTCCTGGAAATACTCTATGCACACACAAAGGGAGCATACTTTCATTTAACAACATGTGTAGGAGGTCCTTCTGTTTCAGTACATGTTGATCTATTTTTTTAGTGGCTCCATGGTTTATCATCCTGTAGACATTCCATAATTCACTTAACTAATCTTTCATTGATGGATATTTTGCTGGCTTCCAGACATGTACTTTTGCACAAATAACAAAATACTTGGGGCCGGACCCATGGCCAAGTGGTTAAGTTTGCATGCTCTGCTTTGGCGGCCCAGGGTTTCTCCAGTTCGGATCCTGGGCATGGACATGGCATCCCTCGCCAGGCCACACTGAGGTGGCGTCCCACATGACTAGAAGGACCCACAACTAAAATATACAACTATGTACTGGGGGAATTTGGGGGGGGAAAAGCAGAAAAAAAAAAGAAGATTGGCAACAGTTGTTAGCTCAGGTGCTAATCTTTAAGAAAAAAAAAGGATTGCTTAGCTTTAAAAAACAAAGAAAATACTTGTAGGTTACATCTCTAGAAATGACATTGCTTGTTGAAGGGTGTGTAATTTTTAAATTTGGTAGTTACAGCCAAATTGCTTTCCAAACAGCTTGTGCTCATTTACACCCCTACAAAAAGAATATGTACGATGCTATCTTTTCCCTACACCCTCATCATATAAAGTATTATCAATTTTTTGGTTTTCGTCAATGATAGGTGAAAAAAGGTATCTCGTTGGTTTGATATGCATTTACCTAATTCTAAATGTGTTGCTTATCTTTTCCTATATTTAATAGATTAAGGAAATCTATTTCCTAATTTATAGGTGAGGAAAGTCTCCTTTAGTTTATCAAAGGTATGTAAATTTTGTGGCAGGATATTAGCATTCAGATTACTTTAATCTGTAAATTTATTATTCTTTCCCTCTCTTTTTTCCGCACTGGAAAGATAAAAAGCAAATATTTTCCCCACTTCCAATAAAGGTGCCTTTTAGGAAAGTGGATCTCATTTTTTCATTGCTTTGGCCTAAAGTCCTGCTACAACAACAGAGCAAGAGGAAAAGAGGGTTTTTCAGAAAGTCTTAAAAGGTTGTGGGCATTGGGGGAAGTGAGGGAGGAGGCAGTATGAGGTGCATGTAGGGGACCCAGAAGTCACCCAAGAAGGGAGAGGACCCGCTGCCTGGAAAGGGAAAAATCAAATTGGGCCTGGCAGGTACCACATTAAGGGGTAATGTGCCCCAGAAGCTGCCTGAACTCTCTGTCAGTGCCTGCAGACCTGCTACCCAGCACCTCACGTCATCTCTACCAGGTGCACTGTGCTTCCTGGAGCACTGATTCACAGCATCACATCCTACAGTGGATTAGTGACTGTCAAGCAGGGGTGATGATGCTAGTGCTCACCCCAAGACTTTGCTTGGTCCCCAGCTGAGTATATGTCTCTCTCGCAACTCCTGTAAGCACAAGAAAACGGGGTATAGTGGAATTCTGAATGCCAGGCACATACATGAGCCTCCCCTCACAACATCTGCACAGGTGGGAGGAGGGTTGAACTAAAACAGATCCAGATTCCTTTGCCGGAATAGTGGTTACTAACCCTCATTACACATCACTGCTGTTTTACCTAACCTCTGTTCAGAGTATTTTGGGTTTTGTGCATGTATTAAAATTTTTTATATGGTAAAATTTATCAGTTTTTTTCTTTTATGGCTTTTCTTTTATGGATTTACGTTTAAAACTTTGATCAACTTTGAACTTATCCTAAGAGATCCAACTTTTTCTTGCTAGAGGATTGACCAAATGTCCATCACAATTAAACAATCCAGCTTCTCCTCACGGACCTGAACTGCCCCTTTATCATACTTTAACTTCATGTATATATCTATTCATTCTCTCTGGTGAAGTCATACTTTCCTCACTAGCCCTCTTTCTAGTTTTCCCATAAGCCCTACAGTTTTTTCCCTCATATTCCCAAATTTAAGGGTTTGCATGTCTATTTTCCCTCGATCCTGATGATATTTTTCATTGGGATTATATTACATTTATTAATCAATTTAGAGCAACTTTGCATCTTAAAATATTGTCTTTTTCTCTATAAACACATGTGTAGATTTGTCTTATTCTGCATCCTACAATAGCATCTTCAAATTTCCTTCAACAGCTCTCATGCATTTCTTGTTCATTTTATTTCTAGATATTTAATCATTTTGCTGAAAATGTAAAATAGAGCTTTTCTTCCATCATACTTTCAAAATAGTTGTCGAGTGCTTATAGAAAAGCAACGACTTTTGTGTGTAACAATTTGAACCAGCCACTTTACTGAATACCCCTATTGTCTGTGATAGCTTTCCAGAATATCTTCTTGGGATTTCCAGCTACATAACCATTTCATCTGCATAAAATGATAATTTTATCATTGCTTTTCCAATTTTTCATTTATCTAACTGTATTTTCTAGTATTGTCAGACCAAGGTAAGTAAGATTGGGGGTACTGAGCGTACTTTCCTGACTTTATTTTGGGACACAATTAATTAAACTGGAGTTACAACTACATGATTTGAAATACTTTCCCCCAATTTGTTTTTATTATTATCTAAAATGAGATCCAATCTCTACGTGAATTTTGGAGTCTTTCAATGCAGGAAATCTTTCTCTTAAAGACTTTCCTTTATTGGTTACCTGCTTGTCTCCTGAAAGTTTTACCAGCTTCCATCTCATGAACATTCTATTCCAGGCATTGCACTTATGACACACAAAGTGAAACCTGTGTGTTTAACAAATCTAAGGCGACTTTTGTCTTATCAATAGTGCTCAGAACACAAGTCATCAAAGCAAAGCAGCACATACGATGAAGCTATTAAACACTCTTCTTGCACAAAACCTTCAGCGGCTGCGCACTGCTTCACTACGTGGACGTGCCCTCCATTGCTCAGGCCAGTCTTTAAGCCGTCTCATCTTCTCTTCCTGCTCTCAGTCTGCGTATTGTCTTCAGATTCATTTTTCCGTGTTATTTTCCTTATTCACATCTTTCAATCCATCTCACTCCTGCGCCTAACAAAATCTGAAGAACATATTTTAATTTTTTCTTGGGTGTCACAACTGGTAATCTGAAAAGATGAATACCTTTCCTCTTTCTAAAAGTCTAAAAGAGCTGCTCTTAGCTAATGTGGACCTCAAGTGATTTTCAGTTTTTATGGGCCAAGGGATCTAGATTTAAAAACACTTCTTTATACCTACCATGTGTAATTCATGTTTGTTACACCACTTCTAAACTGTATGGTATGAAACAGGATGGGGGTTTCGGTTCGTGCTCGTGCAGACCCAAGAAAAGGATTCAGAGTGAAGGACAGCTCTCTCTCCACTGCAGCCTCTTAGCTCTTGCTCTTTGCCCAATGCCATGCACTGCTCTTTTCACATAATCTTAATCTACTAAGCAAGCTGTTATTATACAAGCATCCACTCCTGGAGTGGGGCATCCAGGACCAGGCACTAAACTTCAACAGAGGATTTGATGCTGGAGTGTGGCCAGAAGAGCATCACCGTGAGGGTGAGGGGATTGAAAACCAAGTCTCAGTGCCTCCTATATGCCAGGCACTATTCCCAAGCACCTCGTTATCTCATTTAATCCTCAGAGTGCCCCAGTGAGGATGGTTCTGTTATGGCTTCATTTTACAGATGAGGAAATTAAGATGAAAATTAACTGTCTAATGTCACACAGCTAGTATATGGCCAAGCACATCTTAAAAGCCTATGCCTTCAGCTGGAGGAAATGACGAAGAGAAAGTACAGGGAAGCCATAACACCCATCTTTAAATTTCTGAAGAGCTGTCATATGGAAGAAATGATAAATTTGTTCTACAGATGCTTGGAGTGTACTATTTGGATCAATAGGTGAAAGTTATTGATAAGATTTCTGGTTAATATATAGAATAACTTTCAAAGAATGAGATGTATCTTAAAAAAAGAATAAGTGATCTTCAGAGGTAGGGAGTTACTATTGGAAAAGTCTAAACAGAGACTGGATGGCCCTGGTTGGAGATGCTGGCAAACATATTCAGGCATTTACTTAGTGGTTTGCATTAATCATTCTCAGGACCCCTAAGGCCTTGAGATGATGGTAAATGATTTACTCTAATTGCCAGCAGTGTGGAATTGTGTATTATGGGTAAAGTGGCAACATTTAATGAATTCCAGGTTGTCTACATTAAGAAACAAACATATCAGGATTGAAGGGTTGATTTATATAAAGCAAAGTTGATAAAAATACCTTAAACCCTGCAACAGAAAAATCTGGATAGACTCTGATAGAAGCAGCAGCTGTGTACATAATAGAGGTCACGCAGTATAGAGGTTGTGAACACGGATTCCAGAGCCAGACCATGTGGGTTCAAATCCCAGTTCTACCATTTACTAATTGTGTGACCTCAGGCGACTGACTTAGCTTCATCATACCTCAGTTCCCTCATATGTAACCTACTATGTTAAAAACTATCTCATTTTTAATCCCTGTGAGGATCAAATGTGTGTGTGTGTGTCTCTCTCTCGAGGAAATTAAGAGAGAAGAAAGAGCCTGGAACATAAGTAATAAATATTTGTTATTCCAAAGAATTTCCTTGAAATTTTAAATATTCAAACACTATAAAAGGTAAATTACTTTTAATTTTATTAATTGTCACAAATTGATACATTGTTTTGAAAAGACAGAGAAATCAGCTCTAGCAAATAACATAAACACAGGTTAAGAAATTATTAGGCCAAGATAGATTTGAACTCTGACCTGGATAATGGTCTTCTAAAACTGTTTATCTATTTTTATTTATTTTAAACAATCAACAATAAGTATTTCATTGAGCATCTATTATTATACCTAGCACAATACTAAATACTTTAAAGAAAAATATAAGCAGCACATTGCATGGTCCTTGTCCTTAAATAGCTTATAATCTAGTTGTGATTATAAAGACACATTTAAAAAATTCTAGGACCTAACACCTTTATGTAAAATCACTTTTGAAAGTAATCACTTTGGAAAGTTATACCCTTATTTCAATAATCCTGCCATTGCTCAAAACATTCTTTGCATCGTTTCCTTTGGGATTGCTTTGGAGTCATTACAAAAATCACTTAAGGAAAGCGGACTCCTTTTGGTTTAGAACGCTGTTCCGTCTTTCTTAAGCACATAGGTTAGTTACCCGAATTAAGTCACCCGGTGCTCAGTGACTGCTGGTTGTTTTAAAATCTCAGATGCACCCTAAAAGACAAAGTTTGCTGTTCTTAATGACTTCAAAAGAATGTACTGCAGCATTACCGGACAGTGAGTATCCAGAACAAGGGGCCTTTCTCATCATCTTTGCTCCTCCCGCAGCCTCCGCTCTCGGTGCTCAACCGCAGCAGGAGGGCTGTGCCCTGTGCCATGTGCTCACTGAACTGAAGGGCCAGCAGCACGGTAGCTGTCCAGCAGCTGGAGATCTCAGGGTGGGCAGAGGACAAAGGAGAGGAAGAGTTCCAGAAGGGCTCGAGGGGGATTTCTTCCTGTTCTATTATTCTAGGGTTTTCTTTCACGACTTCTTAGGCGTCTGGCTTTGACAGTGGAGGACAGAAAGGTCTGCCCGAAGCTGGCAGCAGGTTCTCCCAATACTCCCTTCTAGCCCTGCATTTAAAAAAATATATAGTCAATTAATTAAAAGACACACCTATCTTATAAGTCCAATACATTATATATATATTTGCTAAAATATACATAATTTTGGTGGAAAATCAGGCTAAAGTAGAACTTGAGTTTCAACATATGGACAGAAAAACTACGTCCGTATCTATTAATGCCAGGGGTCTTTCTCACATTCCTATCCTCCATGACAATCACTGGGTTTCACACCACCTTTCAGAAAAACACAACGTGTTTGAATCTTACATGTTTTTGTGAATTACATTCATTCTGCAATTTCTAGCTATCCTCAATATTTTAACATAAGGACAAGTATATGAAGGGAGATGGAATGAGACCAAAAACCTAACTATAAACAGAATACAAATTACTTCGTAAGTGTTTGTTCCTTGTTTATAGACAAAGGAGACTACAAAAGTTTCTGGTCACAGACTTTTGCGTTAAATATATTTTTACAGTTTCTTCCACTTTACTATGAAAATGAATAAACCAATATTTTTGGATGATGAAAATGTCAGAAATCTGGGGTGTCTGTCTACAGGTTTCTGTGTAATCACAAATTTTTGTGAACATCAGTGTGTTTGGGAGCCCAGAGAGGAAGGGATGTTTGGTTTTGTTGTACAAAACAATGTTCTATCTTTAATTGCTGATGCATTTTAAGGATCTCTAAAAAATGATAATTAAAATAAGCCATTTCTCACTTATTTGAACCATTTTAATCACCACCAAAGTATACTTTCCTTACCTTTTAATTATTATATTTATTTTTAATACCTTCTTTCTAAGCATGACACCCATAAAAACCATCTTCTCTGATAAATATCCATATGTCTCGGAAGAAATGTTTGGCTAAATGATTTCTTGCCTACTTTCACAGTCTAAATAAATTTACATTAGGAAAGTTGTTCCAGTTCCAGAATGAAGCCTGTTCTCTATAAAATGGGTTAAATACATAACAGATAACAGCACTGAACAGAGACGAGGAGAAAGCAGAGGCTGGAACTGGTTTCTAGAAGATGGAAAAGAGATGGCATTGTATTGACAGATGAGAGAGAGAGAGAAAGAGAGGCAATGATTCAAAACAGAACAGTCATTTAAGAGGCTCCCAGAAAAATGTCTTCAACAATAAAGTGATTGATCATAACAAATACAGTCACACGTTGCAGAACGACAGGCATACTTTCTGAGAAATGTGTCATTAGGTGATTTCGTCATTGTGGGAATGTCATAGAGTGCACTTACACAAACCTAGATGGGATAGCCCACCACACACCCAGGCTACATGGTACTAATCTTATGTGACCACCAAAGTATATGTGGTCCCTCGTTGATGGAAATGCCGTTATGCGACTCATGACTGCAGTATAATGTAGATACTGGGAGACTTTAGAGTAGGCCTGTTCTTCTTTCAACAATGTAAAAAGAAATTAATTAGAAATTCCTAGAAAACCAAACGTTGTACAAAGAAAGTCACAGTCAAGTATGAGGCAAATTAAAATATGGCATGAGTTTGGACTAAGGATGAAATGTAAGAAAAGAGAATCAATTTGACCTTATTGCTTGGAACATTCTCCTATAAGTAGCTCAAGTTTTTAAAAATAGGATTATTTCTCTTTCTCCATAGTTCCATGCTTACCACTTGGTTCTGCAGTGAATAATGTTTAGAAAATCCTTACCAGGTACCAGGATATTACATTGGAAATTTTATCGAAGGCGCCAAGATATGATAGATATCAGGTATCAAAGCAGGACGACACTGCAGTTTCAAAGTAGGTGGGCAAGAGCTGGTCAGACAACTCAGCTGAATGTACACTGGAAAATCTAGACCCCAGAGACCAATGGGCCAGCTACTTTGCTTGTGAGTGAAGAGGGTGCAGTTAAACTGGGGTCAGAGCACACTCTCAGAGTTTGTCTGCATGAAGGAAGGGAGAAAGGTCCTCTAGCCAGTTTTCAGCCTAATAAGAGAGAGAGCGCCAGCCTGGAGGTATTCAAAATCTGGAGGGTATTTAGAATCACCAGGAAGGACAATGGGACCCCCCAAATAGGGGATATCTGGAGTGATCTGCTGAAAAAGCCAGGATCTGAGGTGGAAGCAGCAGTCAGAGAAAAATGCAATGCCTGTGACATGAGAAGTATGGACAAAAGTTTTCAGTGGCAACCTCTGAAGAACCATGACAGTCCCTGTTAAGACCTGCCAGGCCTAGAGAGTGCCATCTTCCTATTAGGGAGCCTGTCAAGTAATAACATTTTACTCCCTTTTCCATCTTCTCTCCTCTCACCCTGAATCTGAAGGGGTAAGAAACCACGGTTAGCAAGAAGGGAAGGGAGGGCTGGAAGCATCAGACAGAGAAAGAAAAGGATCAGGCTGGCCTTCCCACCATGAAAGGAATCTACTGGAAAACAGGAGAAGATTTAAGTGGGAAACGTTCTAAGTTTTGATTTCACATGGAACTGAACACTTTTAACTACTGAATTAAGACTGTGTTTGCTAAGTCAACTGTTCACGGGGCTTTCTATTGCCTAAGAGTACCCAAAGAAGTTCTGGGGCATGTCAGCATTTTCAAACAAGGACAGAGGAAAGGATTCACCCATTGGGCAGGTTTAAACAGACAGAGGAGACAAAAATAAAGTTGCATTCCGATTATACTTCACGAGTCTTGCTTGTTTAGTACGACAATTAAAATAATATTGTAAATGTTATTTACTAGCTTTACATTTTTATAGCAAACCTACAGACAAGCTTGGAAGATCGAATTATAATTACAGAGCAGAACACAATGGTTATAAACCTTGATGATGGAAAAGTAATGGTATAACTTAAAGACGCCGAGAGGCAGATGGGGGAGGAAAAGCAGAGGGAGTCAGCTTTTATATTAAAGAGTCGAATGAAGAGATACTGCCTCATATCGATGGATTAAGAAACAGTGGTTACACGTGAAATTCAAACTTAGAAAAATAACCAACAGAAGAAATAAAAATGTAATAAAATTGGGAGAAGGAGAACAGGGGGAAAAGGGGAAGATTACGTGATTTAAATCCGTCAGCTTTCATAAAGGATTATCAATAATTCCTGCTTAAAATTGATAAACAAGAAATGGAGGAACGAGACTTCAAAACACAAAAGCAAACAGATAATTCCCTCTGGGAATGGGACGGGTGTCAGGAGGGGCAAGTTGCATGCTTCATTTTACACACTTTTCTACTGTTTGAGTTTTTATTGCCATGTCCACGCACAGTGTTTATAAAAAATAAGTAAACTGAGATTAGAGGAAAACAGTCATGTGAATTAAAAATTCCTACCTGGCTCGAATCCAGGGTTTGGTGTGCATATTGAGGCCACTTCCCCAGCTGCCATGTTTGTCCGAAGCCGGAGGCCAAAAGCCCCTTTCTGGGGCCAGCTCCTCTGCAATCGCCCTGATGTGGTAGGGCTCAAATCCACAGCACCCACCAATGTACCTGACTCCCAGGTTGTAGGCCTCTCTGGCGTAGTTTTGAATGTCCCATCTCGTTGCAAGTCTGGGCTCCAGTGCTGTAACAGCAATTACGACGTTTCTGTTACCATCCCCATTTTCAAATGAGAGGTGCTCTGATGGGCATTTTTTAAAATTTAAAAACAATGAACTTTAGATTAAGTGTTCTTCGGATAGCTCAGTTTTGGTTAACCTTGAACGTTTTTGTCTTATGCAGTCTCCTATTGGAAGACTGGACCATAATTGTTCACGACAGGCGTTTCCATTTTGTCACAACCAGAAATCACAAGGACCTTGGATACACGCCGGATCTTACCAAAGGGATATTCCGGGAGATCCACAAACCCTCCTTTGCCGCAGTCGGGCGTGTGGAACCCCAGGGACTGCACCATCAGGTGCGCCGTCAACCCGGCCGCCTGCAGGCCCTCCTTCATGAGCGTCATCGTCTTCAAGCTGGTCCTGGGCCCAAACCGGCAGTTCACGCCGACGATTGCAGCCCCTACACAGAGAAATCAAGAATGCTTACATTTTATTCACTTACTTGTTTATTTTATTTTTTAATAGTTGGAAGGTGCCTTAGAGGTTAGCTGTCCCCCTCTACCTCCCTAGTTTTAGGAATAACGAAACTGATTCCAGTTCATTCTTTTATTTCTAAACTGCTCTCACGATATTAAGCAAACGTTGCTAAATTTCATAAAAAGTAACGGAAGTACTTATCACATTATGGGTGCCAATCACCTGCTCTCACCAGCTTCGCAGCGCACTCTCCAGGGGGCACATCACGCATGTCTCCCTCCGGGCCTATGCACATGGTAGCTGCCACGGGTTTGCCAGATTCTTTTAAGACTTCCACAGCCCACACAGCTTCCTCAGCGTGCTCAAAATACTAAGAGAAATTTCATTTTTCTTATTGGCCCAAATATAAAGCAGATTTTAAGTGGTAGAACGCACATGTTGTGAAACAGTTATAAAAATAACTGAATATATAATATGTGGTAGAACTTGCTGAGGAATGTGTCTCTATCCGTCTGACCACAGAGGACCATTCTGAGTAACTATTTTAGTTCCTTTAACAATAATACATAGATTTTCACTCAGAGATCATCAATTCGGTGAGACTATGGCTGTTAAAAAGTAATTGAGTATTTAAAATCATAATTTTGAAGGAACAGAAGTTTTGCTAATAAATTTTGGCCTCATCTTTTATAGGCCTGGGTAACCTCTGAAAAATAAGGAGTAGTTTATCATGCTTTATACTTCAGAGTTCCTTTATATCCACTTCTAGTTGGTATTCATAAGGGCTCATAAAGTAGGAAGAAATATGATTATTTCCCCAGATGAGAACACTGACGCCCAGGGTGGAAGGGAGAGCTACTCAGCTTCTTTGCTGATCGCGGCCAGGACCCTTGTCTGGTAAACCCGTGCTGTTTGCAGGGGTGCTTCCCAGGAACCCCCTTAAGTACCACAATTAAAAGCAGAACTTAAGGAAGTAGAGAAAAGTCAGCAGAAATCTCCCTGTTTCTTTCCTTCTTGACTTAGATTCTGCAGAAGCAGTGTGTGAGAAATGACGACGGAGTCAAAAGAGAGGTTCTTAAAAAACAGACTTGTGTTCTCGTCCATCTGGAGGACACATAGGGTGGCGTCTGTGCTCATTTCTGCAGGTGAGTGTCCCCCGGTGAGCTAGCCAGGCTCGGGTGGCCCTCAGTCTCAGGAGGGTGGATGGAGCAAGCTTTTCAACAGGTTCAGTGGAATGACTGGGGAAACGGCAGTTGCAAGGCTTGTACTTGTTCAGGGTAAAGACTTGGGTTGAGGGCTCAACTCCAGGTGGCAGCAATTGTGATGGGAAAAGGGGAATGAGGGCTTTTTAATTCTTGAAAGTGGAAGGAAGAGAATGTTCTGGGCCTTCATTTCCAATCAGCGACCAATTCTTACTGACTCTTCAAAATATCACTCACATGTTACAGCTTGAGCGAAAGCACAGTGGCAGGAGTGAGCAAGGCATGCACGGAAGAGAGCAAGGAACGACTCAGGACTGAGTATATTGGTGGGGCCTGGATGGGCCTGAGCAGCCACCTGTGTCCTAGGCTTTGCTCCCTCAAGTCTCTAACCCAGACAAGCAGCTCCTTCTAGCCTGACCCTCCCATAGGAAAGGATGCTCCCTGAATCATTGTCCCTTTCCTCCCACCCCACATTGTAGGGGGCCCCAGAGTCTGCACCCACCCAGACCTTAGAAACCCACAGGCAACAGTCGGGTCTCTCCTGGGTCTGTCCTTTGGCTTCACAGAGAACCTTGCGTACAAGTGAGAGGATGTTGGCCTTGACTAGAGTGCATTCAAATAAACCTCTGACCATCTACGTGGAGGAACAAGGGCATAAGGCAGTCCAACACTGTCGCGAAAGCTAAAAACTATGCAGTTAGACTTGTCAAAGTAAGTTTATTCCTTTCCCTATGGTACTACGCTTACCTCTGCAATCAAGAAGTCCACATTTTTCCTGGCAAAGACCTCTAATTGTTGTCGAAAAAGTTTTTTAATTCTAGCTTCATCCTTGAGGTGTTTGTACATTGATGTCTGGCAGATTCCCCCTGCTACCAAAGCATCACCTTTGCCAGCCACTTCCCTGGCGAGGTCACAGGCAGCGGCGTTTACCTCTTCCCACTGGGGTTAGAGAGCAAGAGTTCAGATGGTGGCATTTTAAAGGTAAAATATGAGAGAAAACAGGGAGCAGTGAGCAAGTAAGATGAGTACAAGTCACTGGTTTAAACTGCAATTTGAGGAGACCAGCAGAGCTGGGTGCCATCTCCCCTACTACCTGTGAGCTTCTATTTCCATTATTGTACTCACCACTGGGTTTTAGTAAAGGTTTATTTGTTGGCCCCCCACACTTGACCATGACCCACTTCAGAATAGGGTCAATGCCTTTGTGTCCCCTTTGTATCCAGCACAGAGAACGGACTATAACTGGTACTCGGTAAAGGTTGGTTGGTTGAATGAACAAATGGGCATTAATATTCACGAGTATTAATGCTTTACATTTGCAGAATATCTCACAATACTTCCACATCCTTCACCTTTACTACTTTTCTCAACACCCCTATGTGTCTCAAGCATAAGTTGTCTCCATTTTGCAGAGAAGACCAATGGTCCATGCAGGTACGTGTCTTGCACAAAGTCACACAGCTAATAGGCTGCAAGGTTGGGTATCAGACCCAATTCTTCTCATTCCTAGGCCAGTGCTGTGTTCCCTAGGACCACTCTGTCTCCAGATGGGCAAGTCAGAAAAGAAGAACGCGAAATGAGAAAGTAAAAAACGCATCTATAAAGTGTTCTTTCTCTACGAAAAAATAGTACAGGATGGCTGTGCACTTCCAACAGCCTGTTCTTTCCTCGTTCTATCCCCGCCCCCTCCCCTAGCTAAAAAGACAGAAAAAGCTCATTTATTTAGTATATACACATTTACATAATCATTAACTACTTAACAGATATTTTATGTGGAGTTTGTAATAGAGTGTAGTCACACATCAGGTCAATAGCATAGCTTCCCATCAGGAGGTTGTTTTTCTTGTAGATGATCCTTGCCCACCCTCAAGACCCCCCACCAGACCGCCATTACAGCTTACCTTGCTTTCCATATTTTCCTCACTCGCAGAAAAGGTGAAAGTCTGCATGACATTTGATCCTGCTCTCAAGAATTCCATGTGAAGCTGACGGACTACAAAGTAGTTGTTTTTTTAATTGAAATTAAAAAATTAAAAACCACAGAAGCTATCATTTTCAGCAGCAGCAGCAGCTCACTCACTCACATCTCTTTCAGTCATACACAATTTCTTTTTTTGTTTTTTGAAGGTATGCTTTTTTTTTTTTTTGGTGAAGAAGATTGGCCCTGAGCTAACATCTGTTGCCAACCTTCCTATTTTTTTTTCTATTTTCTCCCCAAAGCCCCAGTACATAGTGTATATCCTAGTTGTAAATCATTCTGGATCTTCTATGTGGGGTGCTGCCACAGCATGGCTTGATGAGCAGTGTGTAGGTTCGCACCCAGGATCCAAACCAGCAAACCCCGGGCTGCCGAAGGGGAGTGCGTGAACTTAACCTCTTGGCCATGGGGCCGGCCCCTCATACACAATTTCAAACCTAGTACTTAAAAAAAATTGCAGATTAAGGTCTTTAGCGTTCAAGGACAGGACACGGCAGAGTCCACACCAAATTGGGACTGTTTAGAGTTGCCTCATATCATCCCGCTGACGGGCCTCATGGCCTGGTGCAGTCACATGCAGAGATTAAGGCCTGGCTGGCCAACTGTCCTTTGGTCTCTTGGTCTAGAGGGTTTATTCACTTGCCAGTGTAGTGAAGGATGTACCGGGTCTGCATGCAGTCAGCACGGGGAGCCCTCAGAGCAGAAGGAGGAAATTCTCCTCGCGGGCAGAATGTACAGGGGTGGTACCCCCCAGCAGACGGATTCAACAGCAAGCAGCTGGGAGACAGTCAGTGGGCTTCCCTGGCCTATCAGAAAATCCTTCTTTTCTCTCCCCTCTCTCCCCGACCCCAACCCTTAGCCTTGCTGTTTCAACACTTTCTTCCCGGTTTAGCCAAAAGGTCTTCTCAAATTAACAACAAGTTCTTCTCAGGCCGGAAGAAAACTTCCTGCTAAGCACCAGAGAGACAGAACTTTGTCCCTACCACGTAACTGTGGGAGTCTGATGCAACAATAGCACCAGCCATCGGGGACTTCTGCAATGTGGGCATTTCATGTGGGTTAACTCATGCATCCTCACAACACGCCTGGGTCACGCCCCATGTGACAGATGGAGAAACTGACCCTCGGAGAAGTCAAACGACTTGTCCAGGGTCACACTGCCGGTCAGTGCAAAACCGAGACAGGATCCCAGGCTTCTGGGGTACACTGTGCATACACGAATAAAATCTGAGTGAATCAAAAGTTCCATCCATGTCTTGTACCCTGTTTCATCCACTTCGTTCTTGGCTGTCTTTCCCACTTTAACTTAGGAGAACACACACAAGAAAGAGTAAAAACAGAGTTAAAGTTCCAATTTGATGTTACTAACCAATCCCATCACAGTTTCTGCCTCCAACTCCTTTTTTTTTCAGCCAGAAGGATGAGGTGAAACCATGTTTAGTTCTTCATCCCTCCCCTTCTGGCAACAGAACATAGTCTATCATCTATGCTCCGTTAAGCTGGTGGTTCCCATTAGTCCCCCTACCAAACACACTGTTATAAAAGAATACGCAAATTAGCCAGAAGGATGAATCTGAAGCAATTACAGTTTTACTATGTTAAGGAAACTCTTCAATATCCACAAGGGAAATATTCATGGAACAAGTATTAGGATGTATATTTTAGCACTCCCTGAGTATGAAGATGCAAGTGTCTGTGTGTGTGTGTGTGTGTGTGTGTAGGCAGGGGGAGATAGGCCATTTTCTTCTATTCGCTTCAGCCCATGTACAGTCACTGTCACCACATTTTGGCAAGTGATAGTCCTTAGAAAACACTCACTAGGGGCCAGCCCTATAGCCGAGTGGTTAAGTTTGCACACTCCGCTTTGGTGGCACCAGTTTTGCTGGTTCAGATCCTGGGCGCGGCTCTAGCGCCGCTCGTCAAGCCATGCTGAGGCGGCGTCCCACACAGCAGAACTAGACAGACCTACAAATAGAATACACTAGTATGTACTGGGGGACTTTGGGGAGAAAAAGAAGAAAAAAAAAAAAAGATTGGTAACAGATGCTAGCTCAGAGCCAATCTTGAAGAAAAAGAAAACACTTGCTATTATTTTTTTTTTTTATCTTCTCTCAGATTTAAGCAAACCATCACCCAGACAAACCCTCGCGGGATGCGGGCACCAACCGGCATCCGGGTGCTCAGCGACGGCTTCTGGAGTCCAGAGTCCAGCTTTCACGCAGCCCCTCTTCTCCAGAGTTATGAGAAAGCTGCCGTCTCCAACCACAACCTCCCCACTCTCCAGACGTTCCAGAATACCCTGGAGAAACGAAAGAACAACCACCTAAGACCCCTCTTTTCTTTTCCTAAAAGCAGTTTGTAATTTTAGGAAAGGGGGGCTATGTTCTTACAGCTCCAGTTCTGTCAAAATCGTCAGCATCTAACAGCGTTTGAGCAAGATTGAGTACATGTGTTTCTTGCACAATCCAGGTACTTGTTTTGTGCAAAGTGCTGTGACTGTTTTAACAACATTTAATCTGAATCAAATTAGAGAGAAAGTGCTGATTCTATGATAGTTATTTTGGTTTTTCCACATGTTTGTGGCAGACACTGCTAGTTGCCTAACTAATAAGGAGTTTCTCTCTTCTTCTTTGCTAGTGGATTTTGTTTGGGGAAAAGACGTCCTCAGCTTACAAAAAAATTTCTCAGGCTCTCTTGCAGCTGGAGGTGGCCATGCGACACAGTGCTGGCCAATGACACATAGGTGGAAGTCTGCTGAAGATTTCTGGAAGAGTTTTGCTTTCCTGATACAGATGCTCATTCCCTTCCATCTTGGCACTCTTTCTCCTTCCACGACTGGAATGTCAACATAAGCCCTGGAGGTTTAGCAGTCATCCTGCAGCCATGCCATTGAAAGCCACATGCTAAGGTTGGGGAAGCTGACTGATAACAGCAGCCTGGTGTCTTAATGACATCCTTGAGTGGCTGCAGCAGCCATGGACCGCTAGACCTCTTGCTAGGAGAGAAAAATAAACCTCATCTTTGCATAAACCATTGAACATAATGGCCACAACGTTTCATAATTATGCCCTACACTTTCCAGCATGTTCATGTACAAGTTATCATTTGGCACTCTCAACAACTCTGTGAGCTAGGCAGGACAGAGAGATTTTATTCCCATTTTATAAGTGAGAAAACTGAGGTTCAGAGAGGCCAAGTGACTTGACCAAGATCACAGAGCTAAGTGGTAAAAAAGCAGGGTTCAGATCTTCTAAATTCCAAGTCTCTTTCTATTTTACCACCTTTCTATTCAGCCCAACCATAACTTCAATAAACGTTGTATCCAGAGCAGTTACCCAAGGGCTACGGTTTCCGTCCCCCGTCGTCTAAAACGGGCCTCCCACGGGTCCCTGCATGGCACACCCTCTCACTTCCTTCAGGTCTCTGGTCAAGTGTCATCTTTTCAGAGGCCTTCCCTGATGACCTCATAAAAAACTGCACACACCCCATGGCAATCCCTGTCTCTCTTGGATAGACTGCATTCGTTGAAGATACAAGCTTTTATTGAAAATACAAAGCCAGTTCAGTCCAGCCCTGTGTACAGCTGGACACAGAGCAATGCACAAACGGGGGAGAAAGCCTCCAGCAGCCCCCTCTAACCAGTCGTATCCGCAGTCCCGGAAGGTGCACAAGAAGGGGTTGCACTGGAGGCTAAGTACCGGGCCACCACAGGTGCAGCATCTCCATTTTCCTGGCGAGGGACATTTTCATCTGTTCTCTAGATGCTTGTCCAACATTTTAAATTTGCCAATTTTCTAAACAGCCATTGGCAACATATCTGTTATCAAGCTTTGAATTCAGAGCATGTTTTAGCCCCTCCTTCACTGCTATACTTACCACCTGCATTAAGGGCTACCCCAGGTGATCTAAAGACCATTCCAGAACGACAGAGGACTGTGTAAGGTAAAGGGTGCTGCAAGCTAATTTGCAGTACCTTTATATTTCCATCCCATCCTCCCTTTTGGTCTGCCAGTGAGTCCGCCTAGGATCTGGCAGTGAGCTCTAGGAGGCATTTGTGCCCCCCTTTTGCAGATCCCAGTAATCAGATCTCTAGATTTAAGATCTGGCTTCAGGGCACCTCTATCCACACGGAGGGGAGAATGACTGCAGGCATGGCAGGAGGCAGCCCGACATCCAGGCTGCCTACAGTCTCTCCCCACCTGCCTGGAATTGCCGCCTGGACTGCTCTCTGGATTCAAGAAGCAATTAGAGGTGTTGTCTGCGGCAATTAAAGGAATTCTTAAAATGTAGCGTAGCTGAGAAGGGAGGCAGATCGGCTCCTTGCCGCTGACGTTTACCCTCCCAGGTGCACAGTAACAGGGCTAGTGGACGATGATCTCCGTGTGGCAAGAGGAGAGAGAGTGAAGAAGCTGAACAGGGGCAGCAAATTTTAAAGGCCTTTTAAAAAAAATGAACTTGTAACAGTGAACACAGTATTAGAGAAAGTTAGAGAAAGAAATCAGCACAATGTTCTTTATCTTTTTATTACACTCATTTTCTTCAACGTCTATATTTTACTTTTATGGTCAGAAAAACATGTCCCAAAGTATTTTTTCTTGTTTTTGAATCCATTTTCCTATCTTATGTAACTACTACCATTATTGTGTCCTCCCTTACAGCGTGTATATAAATATTGTCATATGGTTGGGATCAGTCTGTGATGTACTCTATCTCCTTTTCTAACTGAACATGGCCAAAGCACTTTGCCTGTTCCCATACTTAGCTTCCTAATAACTTATTAAGCGGATGAACCTTAACTTATTCAGGGATCCCACTATTGTGGCCATCTTGGTCGGTCCTTTTTACTACTGATAAATCGGTGGTGCTCATTTCCATGTCTCTACCGCCCCTTCCTTCCCAGCCCTCTCTTCTGAATTCTGGGACGCAGGTGGGTTGCTCTAAGGGGTCCGGGAGGAGTCCCACGTCCAAGTTCATGCCCTTCCTGATTTTGTTTCGTCACTTCTTCTCCCCACCACGCACGCACCCGGCGTAGAAATGGGGGACGAAGCCGACTGCTGGCGACCAAATGGGGAAAGGAGCCCAGAGAAGGAGCCAGGTCACGGGGACTGCCAAGTGGAATGAGGCAGAGGGGTCCCCGCGCACCGTCCACCCTCCGCTGCGGGACCCGCAGTGTCCGCGCCGGGGACTGGTTTCGGGTCAGACTGCGGCCCTTCCCAAAACACGAGAGAACCGAGCGGCGGGGCGGGATGAGCCGGAGGGCTGTGGGTGCGCGTCGGTGAGGGTGCAAAGTGTGAGCGCAGCCTCTGAGTCCGAAGGCTAGACTTCAAATCCCAGCTCCCCCGGACTAGATCGGTGACTCTGAGCCACTCGCCAGACTCTCTGAGCCTCAGTTTCCCCATCTGTGAAATGGGGATAACTGTGAAGAGGAGAGAATTTGCGTAAAGCCCTCGCGCAGTGCTGGGCACCGAGTCAGGGCTCAGCAAACGGGACGCAAGATTATCTGATCCTCCCAGCGAGGTAGTGTCGTCCTCCCGGCTCCTCGCCCTCGGGTAAACGGAAGCCCAGAGCTCCTCGGGACTGAGGCGGGATCCGGACGCCGGCGCGGGGAGCCCAGGGCCGGGCCGGCTGCCTGGGGACCCGCGCGCCCCGCACACTCACCTTCTTGGCCCCGGGGCCTCCTGCCGCTGCCATCGCGCCGCGGGTGTGAGGACGCCGACCCGGGGGCGCGCCGGCCAGGAGCCCGCCCCTCGCCGGGGGAGGGCCCAGTGCCCCGGCCCGCGCCGTCGGTGGCCTCGCGCGGGGACTGCGCCCTCGGCTGCGCCTCGCCATGCTCCGCGCCGGCGCGCAGCGGCTGCGGGGCCTCCCGCTGCCCCGTCTCCCGCTGCCCGGCCTCCTCGGGCGCCCGCGCTCCACCTGCAGCCGAGGGTGAGTGGGGCCCGGCCTGTGGCTGCGGGGCTGCGAGCCAGGGCCGGAGGGTCTCGGGGTGAGGGGCGCTGCGGCCTCCGAGAAATGGGCGCTCGGATTTCTTCTTGATTATCTGTGTTTTCTTTTCCATGCACAACCGTACAAAATGAACCAGTGTCAAGGGGTTCCCGGTGCAGTCTTTCCCGCCCCAATCCCTTCCCTGCACCTGTCGCTACTGTCTTCTGTATCTATCCAGAGATGGCCTGTGTGTAGGCAAACACAGGGGTGTGTGTGTGTTCTTTTTTGCCTGACTTACACGTTGCTCTTTACAATATGTCTTGGAGAAGCTCACGGTCCAGCTGGGAAGACAGCCATGCAAGTAATATATTCAACCGCTGTGTAATAATTATAATCAGAGAAGCATCTCCACCGTGAGAGGAAGAACAGGTTACTCCATCTGGCTCTCTTCAGCCTGGAAAACGTTGGAGGGAGGAGATGATCCAAGATTTATAGATACTAAACTTGAGGATGATTATGGTTTTTCAGGTGGTGTTCTTTAAGTAGATTGAGAAAAATTATTCTCTAGATTCTTTGAAAAAAGAAGTCACCTGTTCAGTTCTTTAGCTATGTTAGTTATCAACAATGGAGCAGAATTCATGGAAGGGGACTCCCAGGCCTCCTCCTTCTTCCTGGGACCAGGTTGCCTAAGTCAAGGTTTAGAAGCCCCAAATGATTGCATCAGCCTCATGCACATCCCACAGGCACTGCGTGTTAAGTATGAGAGAAACAAGGACAAGCACATTAGTCAGAAAAAAAACTATGACTGCTATAGCCTAGTAAAGCTACCGTTTTAAAAAAAAATTGTCTTCCAGAGAGGAAAACCCACCCTTATCTGCAGAAACAAGATGGAAAGACAGAGCGGAAACAGTGATCATTGGAGGTGGCTGCGTTGGTGTGAGTCTGGCTTATCACCTGGCCAAAGCAGGGATGAAGGATGTGGTCCTCCTGGAGAAATTGGAGCTCACCGCTGGATCCACCTGGCATGCAGTAAGAAAAGCACCTCAGAACTGTCAGATGCACTGACTGGTGCAGGAGCACCATCAGTTTCCTTCCCATTCGCAACTCCACACTGTGAGCTCTTTAGGTTGAGTTCCCTTTGAATAGTGTTGGAAAGTGCCATTCCCCCTTGGTTAGTGACTTCTTCACCGTGATCAACATTTATGATGTCTTTATCTTGAGCCTATGGCTTCTGGATTCAGATCCTTCCTCTGCCATTTTCTGTCTGTGTGACTTCTGGCAAGTTACTTAAGTTTCCATTTCCTGATGTATCAAATGAGAATATTAATAGCACCTACCTGCTAGGGTTGTGATGAAAATTGAGTTAATATGTGTAAAGTTGTTAAACAAATGGTAAGTATTTGGTCTGTTAGCTCTGTTGGAAGGATAGTGGCTGGGTGATCCTGATGCTGCCCGAGACCGTCGCCTGTACTCTCCCATCTGCTTTTAGTGGTCCTTTTACATTTATTTATTTCTGATTTTAATTTTGTGCTGTGAGACAACAGCTTGGCTTCGTGAAGACTTAACTATGAGAACTGAGAACATGTGACACAGCCTGCATCTTGTGTAAAATAAAACACACCACCAAGTCAATCTCGCATATTTAATGGTATATGTAATTGTTCCAGTGCTGCACAATGATTGGACTTCAGTGGAAGGCTGCTCAGGTAAATGAGGTGATTGACACTGCTTTCATACTGCCAAGCCAGTTATCCCTGAAGTCTGCTAAGGACGGGAGAGGAAATTTTCATGACTGTCGGTACACATTTCTCTTGGAGGAAGAGTTGGGCATCGTTAGCCATGGCTCATCATCCGTTTCCTTCATTAGCTTTCCTCTATTGGGACAAGAGGAAACCCCGCTGTTAGGGGCCTTTGGACATCCAGAACCTGCTCAAGGTATGGGGCGGAGGGTCGAGCGCTAAAAGGGCTGCCTGCCTCCAGCTGAGTGTGGGGGGGAGTGTGGCCCAGACTTAAGCCCAGTTGGCTCCAGAGTCCCAGTGGTCAAGTAGTCAGACCACACACACCGATTGGGTGGATGGAGGCTCCTAGGAGAGTTGCACCAAGCCCAGCTCCTCTTGCCTCTTTTCCTCTCCCTCCAACCTCCTCACCCCTCAGCCTGGGAGGGAGGCCAGGGTCCCTGGTCCTCCCTGGGTGTAATTTCAGAGTCTTTGCAGGCACACTTGCCTCTTGTTTCACCAGTTCTCTCTCAGCTTGCTTCCTCCTACCTGGAGAGAGCAGTGAGAGAAGCCACCAACACTCCTGGCTCTTCTCCCCTCCCTGAACTAGATTTTCTACGCAGGTTTCCCATTATCCTGTCAAACAAAGCCTGCCTGTCTCCTATAGCTTCTCCTTAGTGGACACTCAGGCACACTGTCAGCAAATACTTACTAGGGCCCTATTTTGTGTCCGGCCAGCACCATTCTAAGAGGTGAGCACATTGCAGTGAACAAAATGATGTCCCTGCCCTCATGAAGCTGCATTCTGACAGAATGCGAACACAAACAATGCCAGAAAACACACAAACAATGCCAGAGTCGTCAGTGCCCTGAAGAAGAGCCAGGCGGGGTAAAGAGATGAAGAATGAGGGGGAAGGAGGAGTCAGGGGGCTGTTTTAAAGAGGTCACACATGAGCGGAGACTGGGCAGAGGTGAGGGAGCAAGGGGGCCATGAGGCTGTCCAGGTCAGAGCCTGGAGGCAGAGGGCAGTTTAGGCAAGTGGGACAATCCCGAGAGGGAGGCCTTATATCCTTTCAACACTTCCAGGCTGTTGAGGAGGGTATACACTTTAACATTTTAACGACTTTTTTGCTCATTTATGTTTGATTGATTTGATGTGGTCTGCATGTTAGAATAATTACTGGATTCTCTGCAATATTACTGCTTAGACATCCCATGAATTAAAAAAAAAAAAAGCATCATACCCTTAACCCAAGTTCTTTTAAGAAAAATGGGCAAAGTTCTTAAGATGATAGCTCTTTGTTAAAGGTGCACAGTAATTTTCCCTTAAGCAAAGATACCAAAGGGAGTGGAAAAGGCATTCTCCTGCTCTATGCACAAGGTATGAAACTTTTAGATGAGATCCACGCAGGGGGAGCCCAAGATGGACTCAGGCGGCAGAAGCTGGGTTATTTGGCCTCCTAGGAATAAAGGAAAAGAAAAGAAGGTTGCCCTAGGAAGCTGATTCTAGGACTTTTTGCAAGTCAAGGAGGCCTCCCTCTGAGGAGCAACGTGAAGAAATTCCACATATGAGGAATTTTTAACACAGAGAAATTTTTGGAGCAGATGTGAGAATGTGGAAGGTTGGGGAGCCAGTTGAAGGAGCAGACTGCAAAAACAAAGGCAGTCTCACTGGAGTATAACACGTGCTCAAGGTTCAATGTGTCAGGAGAGGGCGGGAATCAAGTGCTTGGGGAGGAAGGCACTGCTTGCAAAGTGAATATTCAAAATGGAGTCACTAATCCCTAAATCTTGAGATTTTGCTGTATTTTAACGAGACTCCTTTGTCAGCACTCGACACTACTGCTGATAATAGAACACGTCATGCAGGATGGAGGAATAGGGGAGAGGGTGGAGTGAGAAGCAGTTTGGGAGCATGAGGTCCCCAGGGGATGCTGCCCCTGGGGATGGTGCAAAGTGGATGTTTTGGAGGGCTGAGGACTAAAGATGCAAGATGATCCATTTGAGGTGTAGGAAGACAATATTAGAACTTTTAATTTGTTTTTACCTGAAAACATGAGACAGAGATTAAGCTTTCCTAATCTTGATAAATAGCCTTCCCCTTTGATGTGGGTGACGTAGTGGGCAGGACTCCAGGGTTGAGTAAGGGGCAGGTGGCGTTCTCCAAGGGGTGAGTCCTCGTTCTTTCCTTGTCTTCAGTCGTCTATCATGACATGTTGCAGATCACATGTTGGAGGATATCATTGTTGTGACTGACTTTATAGAACCGGGGCTTTAAATAATATAACTTGTGATGAAAGGGAGAGGGAATGGCCTAGAGAGTGTTGTGCTACAAGGAAGTTTGTTGGTTATCTCGTAACAATAATTAAAAGAGTTGTGAAAAGTTTTTCCTTTGCAAAAAGACAAGTGTCCGAAATTTGGTGACCTTTGTAGTGGTGGAAATGGCTACAAGTCATTTCCAAATGGCAAATACAAATAAAAAAATAGATGCAACCTATCTCTTCAAAGTAAAGGTGATGCTTAGAATAAGTGAGAAGTAATTGTTTTTTTGCAAAATAGTCCTGTTGGGAAGAGAGCGTTTTGAAAAGGGATGTTTAGATATGTCGGTATCATTATTAGATTTTTCTGGCCAAAATGATATGTATGTAGAAAAACTCTCATATATGCAAGAGAGAAATTTTTTAACTCATTTAAAATTTTTCCAAATGAGGATTTTTGGTGGGATTTGTACGTATTTATTTAAAATATAAAAATGCAGTATCTTTCAATTGTCTTGTAACAATAACTGATGGACAATAGAACAGGAAACGTTAATAGGCAAATTTCAGCAGAACCCTTTCCGCAGGTGGTGACTGGGCTGGAGGCAAGGGTGTCAAGACACAGAGAGTGCAGCCATGAGACCACACTGCTCCCACCTAGATCTTTGTGTCAGTGACAGGCAGCTTCTTCAGCTGTCACAGCCACTCCAACCGCTCTCAAAATAAGACAAACCTAGAGTCAGGCCTTCAAACTGCTGTTTTACCAAGGTTAATCCAATATATATATTGTAGCAAGAAAGTATATTAATCTCATAGCCCTTGCTAAAATATTAATTAGCTTAATATTCAAAAGCTTTTCTACACAATAAATAAAAATTATTTAAAGTATTTAATTCATTTCAAGTCATTTTTGTATATTTTATCTCTGTTAATATACTAATGCATATTTATATATCGTGAAAATAAAAAAATACACGTATTTTAGTGGATATGCTCACACATCTTTATTGGATATGAGTGCATGGAGCCACTGGGACATAGGATGGCTGGAGGTCAGTCACTGGGCTTTTTGAAGCTGTAGAGGCTCATGAAAGAGGAAGAATGATTATTGGGGAGAGAGGGAGAGCATCACTAACTTCAGCATCAATTGATGACTTTTCTAACTCCATCGTTCCTTTCATACTTATTAATTGTCAATCTGCTTTAAGGAAGAGCTTTCCCTTCTCCCTATTTATTTATTTATATCAGCAAGGATTCATAAATTCTTATTTTATTCAAAGGGTTATAATTCTTAATGATGATTCATGTCCTGTTTCATCTTCCCTCTTTTATCTTCTCCGCCAACTATAATCATTTTCTTTCTTCAAAGCAAAGGTGAGCCCCTTCCTGATCCTCCTTGAAGATGTCTGTGACCCTCCAAGCATCTTCTCTTCTCTCCGTTCCCTTAGTGCTTGTCTTTCTCTATATGCTCTGGCACTTAATAGTAGCCTCTTGATTTCATTGTTTCATGTATGAAAGTTTCATGACCTTGGTCAGACTATAAAATCTTGAAAGGTAGGAACAGTGTTTTCTCCTTCTTCAAACTTCCCATTTAATATATACCTCCTGAAGCCCAGGGCAGAAAAACATGGTAACCTTCCTACATCCCACACCACAAGACTGGCTTGTAACAATAAATACCATGCCAGATAGTACAACAGAAGCACAGATATGGTTGACCTCAACTTTTAAACACAAATTAAAAGATGAAAACTAGTTGATAAAAAATACATATGATACAAAAAAAATAAATAGCATAATTTTGTACCTCACTTCTGACTGTCCTAGCAGCAAGGAATCTAGGGTAGTATGAATCGGTCTGTGGAAATAAGTGTACTCTTTCAGGAAGGGAGGCTAGCTTTTCCCTAACCAGGAATTCCTAGAAGAGTTTCTTCCCTAAACAAAGGACATTGGGCTAAATGTTTTGAATAACAGTTTTACAAAAATGAACCATGTGACTCTTTCAGATGAAAGACCATTAACTCATTCTATGAAAACAGCTTTCTGGGGTAGGGAGGAAGGGGTTGATGCAGTGTGTGTTTATAACTTTCTGGTGGTCTGGTTCAGCCTAGGTTAAGCTTAGGGGATCTTGTGGAGTGAATGGTGAACAGAAGCCTAGGCCAGTGCTCGTGGCTCTCAATCAATATCATCTGACAGGAGATATGTGGAAGATCAATTGAGTTCCCTGTCAGATACCTGAAGGCCAGGGATTCTCTAGAAAAGTTCCCATGCACACGAGATACCAAGCATGTAAAGAAGAATGGGATGTTTGCTTGAAAGTTAGGGAGCCTGACTTGCAGTTCTGTTGTAATGGGGCTGCACTATGAGAGGACCTAAAAGCTGGGCCAGGATTTTTCTGGTATGTGTCCAACCGCTTGACCACATAGTTGATGGAAATCCGAGGATTCCAGTCCATAAAGGATGATTGATGAACTTTAAATGGAGTTGTTTGAGTTCAGGAGAATCAAATACCCACTACTACCATAGAAGAACCTTATAAATCCTCCTAAACAGATTTTATTTTGAACATGTTGTGTTCTGATGAGCTTTCCAGGATAAATTAGCTGCAAAATGGGTCCTCAGACGCTTCATTGAGAGAACCTGCTTCATGTACTTGCCTAGAATTCTTTATCTGGATACTACATTGCATCTTTCAGAGTTGATAAAAGGGGTTTGGGCATGCTAATATTTAGATATTTTTCCTGAGAGTAATTATTCAATATTTACACAGTAGATATTTGTGGGGTACAATTTATGTGCTCATCACACAGGTTAAGCTACCACAGAAGTCTGTTCACCAATTCGTCAGGCTCTAATTCCCAGGTATTTTCCAATTCCTGAATTTTGGAAGTTTTAGGAAAGGGGAATGGAGGGCTGCTCCCCTGAAGGGAATGGTGGGGATTGGGTCAAGGAAAACTCTTTGCTAGTCCATACCCCTGCTTAAGGAAACACACCTGATTTGCTGGTTTGAGTCCACATAAGCCATACCTACATAGTCTTGCTATTACTAGCATATTTTCTTAAACTTTCCATCTAAATATTCCCATTTCTGAATCTGCAAACAACCCTTTCCCTAATAACTTTTAGGGACTTGATGTGTATATTCGTTGGCCGGCTCTCTCATTACTTGTATGGTTCAAATTGGTTCCTATAACTTATGCTCAGGCTGGTGCTGATGTGTTCTCATCCCAAAGGACTGGCCGCTGCTTCTCTGTTTCCTGCCAGCAGTAAATTAGAGCTTAACAGATAAACTGGCAATATTTTGAGAATGTTAACTTTTCTTAATATTTTCTCTCCTCCCCACTTTTAAGGCAGGTTTAACAACTTACTTTCATCCTGGAATAAACTTGAAGAAAATACATTATTATAGCATCAAACTTTATGAGAAACTGGAGGAAGAAACTGGACAGGTAAATGTGTTTAATTTGAAATTATCTTTTGGTCAGTTTCTCAGAAATATGTAAGGTTTCCCCAGGATTTTGATATCATCGTGTACAGCTATGTGTAGAGACATCCGTCACTTGTGAACTGTTTAATGTGGTAGAGAAATCTGATGAGAGTTTAAGGAAAGAACCCCCAGAGTTTGCTTTATAATCAATTTAATTTCTTGAAGTGTATCACCCATGTAATCACCTGCTCTTCTTGATTTTTTAAACGAAAAAAGAATAAATAGCAACTTTAAAAATATCTTTTTTGGGGGCTGGCCCCGTAGCCGAGTGGTTGGGTTCGCGCCTCCGCTGCAGGTGGCCCAGTGTTTCGTTGGTTCGAGTCCTGGGCACGGACATGGCACTGCTCGTCGAGCCACGCTGGGGCAGCGTCCCACATGCCACAGCTAGAGGGACCCACGATGAGGAATATACAACCATGTACGGGGGTGCTTTGGGGAGAAAAAGGAAATAAAATAAAATCTTTAAAAAAAATATCTTTTTTGTCAGTTATTATATCTAGAAACCAGGAAATCAGAGGCTTTCAGCCACTGGGTTGCAAAGGATCTGATAATGTGCGTGCCATATTGTCACATGGCTTGGAAAAGTACTTCACTCAAAGCCCCTCACTTTTATTTTTATCTCTTCTCATATTTATTAGTACTTTCAAAATAGAGTGGCAGGCAAAGAGTATCCATAGGCTAAGACTGAAGTGTACTGTGAGCAATCTGAGGGCAAAGGCTGCCTGCTGGATCTCTGTAACCCAGGGCTGACCTGAGGGCTTGGCCAACTGAAGGCCTTCAATACATGTCAAATGCATGTTTATTTCAATTCACGCTTAGTCTCATCACTGCAGCATTCTGATTCTTCCTATTCCCTCCTCAAATTCTTTGTCCTTCTCTTTTTCACATAATTTTATTTCCCTCTGTACATTAACACTATTGCATGTTATTGTAATGATGCGTTTAACTGTCTGCCTTCACTGTAGGCTGTGCGCTCCATGCAGGCAGGGGCTTTGCCTCTCTTTCACAACAGCATCCCTGGGGCTTAGCATCCCTGGGCACAGAGGAAACACTTAGTAGACAGTTGCTGAATGAATGTGTTTTCATAAGATGCAAATACGTTATTTAGTTATCTCTTTCACTGCATAGTAAATCTCTTTTCTTGTACACCTGCATTTTCGTTGTGCTGGAGAAGAACCATGTTTGAGTGCCAAATAATGATTTGTTTATGTGTTTTTATTGACATTATTGTCACAGGTGGTGGGATTCCATCAGCCAGGTAGTATCAGAATTGCTACAACTCCTGTAAGGGTCGATGAATTTAAATATCAGATGACTCGGACGGGCTGGCATGCCACGGAACAGTATATTATTGAGCCTGAAAAAATTCAAGAGATGTTCCCTTTACTCAACACGAGTAAGGTATTTATCTTAAGGGCATTTCCACCATGTGCTAACTTGAATTAAGATTAGAAAAAGTTATTTTAAAAAGTTAATTAAAAATAGAAAAATTTTGTGCACACATTTCGAATGGCAAAATCAGATGATTAATGCTGGAATTTGGGTAAATTACAAGGTGGGCTTTTGTGTATGCTAAATGAAATATGAAAAGCTGATTAAAAATCTGATTAGTTTTCCACTTATGACCAATGAGGAAACATTATCAATACCTTTCTGTTGCTGTGCCCCCAGAATTAGGGATTCCCATACATAAACCTTTGTATGAGAACTGCAGAGAAAACAATAACCTATACAATAAATATGTGTATAGAAAGACTGTGTTATTGAATGGTGCTCAGTAGATTTTTGTTGAATGGGTGACGCCTAACTAGACTCCTTCCTATTGCTCTCTCCTTGTCTCATCTGAGTCCCATCCTTCTCTCTTCCCCCCAGGACCTAGCCTCAATCCCTAGCACAAAGCAGATACTATTCAAGAATTAGTTGTTGAATGACTAAATCAAGTACGTACACATTTTCCTGACACCAGATATATATTTCACATATGAATTTGTTAACAGTATTAAACAATTAAATATAAACAATTGATCAGTTAGTATTAGATTTCTGACTGCAAATGTCAGAAACCAAAATAATAACGCTTAAATAAGATAGAAGTTTCTTTCTCTTTCATTTAGGCAGTCCAGGTCTTGGGTGGTGGCTCATTTCCAGGAAGACTTCAGAAATCCAGTCACCTTCTAGATCATTGCTCTGTTGTTTCTAGAGTGTGAGTCTTGTATTCTTATTCCAAGATGGCAGCTAGAGTCCAACCATCATGTCTGCATTCCAGACAGCAGGATGGAGGAAGGGACAAAGATGAAGGGACAAAGGGCATATGCCAGTTATCTTTTTAAAATGATTCATGGAAGCTGCCACATGACACTTTCATTTGAATTTCATTGACTAGAACTAAGTAATAGTTTTAGCTACCAGCTGGAACTAATAGCTGCCAAGTACTGGAAACTCTTTGTTCTTAGTGGCCATGTGTCTAAATTAACATTCGGTTTCCATTGCTCTGCAGGGGAGGGGAGAATGGATGTTGGAGGCAGTTGGAAGCCTCTATCAAATAGTCTGTCCACTTAACTCTCAGTGTGAGTCCTGCCTAAGTTTGAGCTTTGATACAGGAAAAATAAGTGCAGACTGATCAATCTGATGCCGGGATGCGCTTTTAATGGCCAATTTTATTAAACATCTGCTGGTAGGATGCAGTTATACTCTGTATTGAGTATATACTCTTTTGAATGCTGACTCTCTTATGATGGATTTAGGTTTTAGCTGGACTGTATAATCCTGGAGATGGTCACATTGATCCTTACTCTCTAACCATGGCCCTAGCTGCTGGGGCTAGGAAATATGGTGCCCTTTTAAAATATCCTGCACCGGTGACTTCTCTGAAACCCAGGTCAGATGGAACATGGGATGTTGAAACACCACAGGGATCTATGAGAGCAAATCGAGTTGTGAATGCTGCAGGTAAGCATCACGTCTTTTTTTTTAAATTAGTGAGCTTTTCTTAAGTGGCAAAGAAATAAGGTATTTAGCCATGAAGTAATGTTATACACTATGAACAATGTTGTGAAACACTGTGATGCTCCCAAGGAGGATATTTTATCTGTTTCTAAGCTACAGAGTCCTCCCTCCATTACTCTGCTCTGAGTGTGACATTCCACTCCGTCCTTGGTTATCTGTAGAAAGGTGGTATTTTTCTCCATGCTGTTTCTTCTCATGATCTACTCCAGACCATGTTTTGCCAAATTATGCTTCTTTTTCCTTCCTATGTTCATTCTTTCTTTATTCTAATAACCAAATTCTAGTGTTCAAATTCATGAGCATCCTCTTTGTTCTCAATTTGCTTTTTAGAGCAGATTTGATCATTTGGGTTCTCTCTCATCCATTTCTGATTACTTGACTCTAGTCAAAACACTTTTAGCCCTTTTCCTTTCAGAACATTATTAAACCTGTTTCATAGTCTTTTCTTTAGTTTGCTCTGCTACAATTTAGACTCAGAGTAATGAAGCCAAAAGGGATATTGGAGATAATCCAATGAGCCACTCATTTTCCGATTGTGGACCAATGTCCAGAAAGGTCGTGGTTCTTGGCAAAGTGACATCGTTATGCCAGAGCCAGGACTTGGACCTGGGTCTCTTGATTCTTGGGTCAATACGCTTTCTAACAGGTCATTTGCCTGTGAAGTTGTTTTCAACTGTCACACACACAAAAATAAATTCTTGTGCAAATGAAAATGCTTGTGCAGTCTAAACTGGGCTAATAATTAATTTTTACCTATAGTTTGTAATGGTTAATTTAAACCCTAAAATAAGCATGAAGCAGTAACTGATTTTCTTGGGGTCTGTTCTTTGAGGCATTGCTTAAATTATAAAATGAAAACAATCTTTATTATTTATTAGATTAAATCGCATGCCGTAAGGACATACCAGAAACATGTACTCTTAAGATTCTTTCCTCCAAATTGTGACTTCTGATTGATGTTATTTTTTAACAAAATATTGTTTAGTGGTCCCGGAAAAAGTCATGTCTTCAGTATTTAAGAATTTAAATTAGTATTTCTGAATCTTTCTCACCCATGCTTTACATTTCAAAAGCATAGATACGTCATATCTTCTTTGATATCATTTAAAATTTAAAATAATGTAAAATGACTTTCCTAAAAAATAAAAGCAAAGGCATAAAACATGGCTTAGTTTTTGAACTTCACTGGCCCCCCCACCTCCCCATCTGATTCCCCTCACCCCTCGCTGTCTTGGGGTACCCCTGGTCTAAATTTTGTTAGGTCTAAAGAAATGATATTGTTCAGCCTTTTTTTCCAAGTAGCAAGGATTCTTTGTAATCTTTCAAATTTCTTTCCAATCTCATGAATTCCGCCTGTAAAAACATTTGACTGTTTTCACAGTGATAGTGATGACCAAGTAAACATCTCTGGCTTCCGTATCCAGTGCTGGGGGCAGACATTGCCAGTCAACCGCTGCCCTCATTGCAGAGGGGCTTGCAGGAACGCCATTTTTCTCAACACCGTGCTTCAGGCAGCCACACACTCCCAACTGGTATTTTGAGAAATAACATAGACGACCTTAATTTAACACATTTGTCTATCGTTTTCCTAAAATGGATAAACTTTTATTTGCATAATTTATTGCCGTTATCATAATTTTTTTCCTAAACCACAAACTGTGAGGTATAAGGAATCACTGAAGAGAAAGAATAATTTCCGAGGAGCTCTGACCTAAACCCAGGACATTGGTTACCAGAGAAATATTCTCTGCAGCTGTGAAGTCTTGCCGGGTGATGGGGCCGGGGAGGCCAGGGGCAGGAGGCCCAGGGCAACAGGTTTCCTGGTGCTGGCCTGGGAAAACGAATCCTAATTTAACGGAATTCCTGGGATTTGTTGGCCCAGGCCAGCACCAGGCAAACTGCTCTCCAGGATGTCCTTCTACGTCCTTTGTTCCTAGGCCTTTTCCCCAGCCAGAGGGACTCCCTTTCCCACCCTCAGCGCTTGGTAGCTGCAGGCAGCTCCTTGTTGAAAGTTGTGTGAAGAACTATGCTCTCTCAGCCCTCAGTTCTTTATCTCCCTCAGATCAGATCTCTGGCCCATATCTTTTTCTTTCTTCTCCTCCTCTATCTCTTCTCTTCCACTGGGCAAAAGTTACTAGAGAAAAACCTAACTGATTACATATTAGTACTCCGTGGAAGGTGTGGAGGGCTGTGTGGTGAATTATTTGTAAGTCTGTTTTCTAAAAAACCTCATTTAAAGTGTAGGCGCTCCTCCAAAAATAAGCTTCAGTAACTGGGGGCAAAGTTTTGGATATGCCCCCTTCTAGAATTAAAGCTAACAAAGATCAGTTTTATGAATAAAAGCAACCTCTGCAGAAGGCGTCAGGCTAACATGCTTTGGGAATGTGTGTCTGATGGGATGTTTCCCAGGGTGACTCAGTGAGACCCGACGTCTCACAAATTCAGGCAAGGCCCTCAGACCAGCTCTGAAATCCACTTAAAGTAACCAGGATATAGACTTGGACATATCACCAAAATGTAAAAGACGTCAAGGCCACTATTATCTACTCAGCTGTACCATAACCTGCTAGGAGTTCCTTATGCGGAGCCATAACAGAAGGCTGCTGAGTTTTCCGGATATCCGTGAAAAGGAAAGTCTGAAAGTAGAAACTTGTCAGTCTGCTGATGTGTCTCAGGGGTTGTGCAGGGCAGTGGGGCTCTCCTACCAGACACACATGTATTGCCAACCTCATTACCTGGGCAAATTACTCATTTGTAACATGGAGATAATAGTGCCCATCTCAAAAAGTTATTAAGGGGGCTTGTCCAGTGGCATAATGATTAAGTTTGCATGCTTTGCTTCAGTGGCCTAGAGTTTGTGGGTTCTGATCCCTGGTGAGGACCTACACACCACTCATCAAGCCATGCTGTGGTGGCATCCCATGCATAAAATAGAGGAAGATTGGCACAGATGTTAGCTCAGGGCCAATCTTCCTCACCATAAAAATAAATAAATTTTTAAAAAGTTGTTATGATCAGTAAATGCTCTAATAATATAAAGTACCCAAAACAGGGCTAATACCACAGAAAGCACTAAAAAAATTAAGTTTAATGATAATAATAATTATTATGATTATTATAAATTATTTCCTTGAAAGTCTATGCCCCGGTCTTGGAAACACTAGCATCGGGTTACCACAGCATCTTGGTACCAGCCTTAAGATTACCCAACTCCTTTCAATTGCTCTATAGTCATCCAGCACCTGTTCGGCTGGTAAATTGACTTCTTAAAGAGCTTGGTTCTCAAGCTAGTGTGCATAGAGTCATCATGGGAAGTTTCCCAGACTTCAAAAAGATTCTCATTCTGGTGGTCTGGGTGGGAGCTGTATTTTAAACAAGTACTCCAGGTACTATACTGTCTGTACCAGATGGTCTGCAAAATGTCTTTTGAGAAACGCTCCTGTGTAGGTGTTCCTACAGGAGAGAGAACATAGTAGCCTTATTCTTGAGCCAGCGGAGCAGAGGAGTGTTCCTGACCCTCCTGGCTCTTGGTGGGCAGGGGGCTGGCGTGCTTTCAGTGCTGCTTCATTGTACCCTCCTTCTCCCCTCCCCTCAGGTGCCCCGCAGGGACTCGGGCAGGGGCTGTTTATCACGATCCAAGCTTTTTCTTTGCATGGTGATGAATGTTTCTCTTGACCTCATTTCCAATTGACTCATTAAGCCTGAGATAACTTTGTAAACTTCACTTGAGAATTTTCCTAATATGGTAAATCAGAAATGTGATCGGATCATGCCAACATGAAGCCCAGTGTTCAGCCAAAAAGAATTGCTTAATTTTGCCTGATACTCTGGGTCAGAGAATGTCACTGTGTAAACCATCATTGTCACAGTATAAACCATCTAGTAGAAGTAAACTTGTCCACAAACCTGCATCCTTCATTTTAACTCCATTTCTATTAATTACCCCATTTTCTGTTTTAAAAAAATGGAAGACATTTCCAATGATCATTTTTATTGACTCTTCTCTTCAGTGTTTTTCAGCTAACAGTGGTAGATTGTAGATGATTTCTCCACATTTGTCTCTCTTCCCTTTGAACTTGGTGGGTGGGTGATCTAGCAGGGGTTGAAGTGTAATCCTGGCTAGCTTTAGGTTGACTTGATTGACACTTAGAGTGAAGAGAATGCCCACAAACACCACCACCATAGGGTAAAATGGTATAGAGCTTGCTTTGGGGTTTGGAGTAATTTAGTTACATGATCCTTATGTATATGTTTCCACTTTATTTTAATGATGAAGTGCATTAATAAGAAAACAATTAGACTCAGAAATGCATAAATATGTTTGAATAGGACAGAATTTATTTTCTTCAATTTATGTTTTTAATTGAAACAAGTATATTGAGGATACTGCAGTGGTTTGAATTGCTAGGCTAAATATTTGGGCTTTTTAAATTTTAAGACTGCTCTAGTGCATATAATTAGAAAAAGTAGTGTTTCTATATTTTCCTACAAAGTCCCGACATTGGTAATTCACATCTTCCTACCAGAAAGAATAAATTCTCTAAATTATTAAAGGACCAACAGACGGCTCTAGTGCCCACAGGTAAGATTTTGGGTTTGCAAATGAGCACCAATTTCTGGGGCTATTGTACTAGTGTGACTAACTTAGCCTTTAGGTCAAAACAAAACAACAAACACAAGAGTGATGTGTAGATGGTTAAAATAGAAATAAACTTTGGCACGCAGGCGCACGCAATCTGGGTCTGAGGACTGACTACTTAATGATTCTGTGTCCAGCTCTGACAGAGACTTCTGGACTCCTTGTTAGATTCTGAGAAATGCAGAAACAGATATGGTGAAAAATTTGGAGAACACAACCTCTAAAGAAATAACTTAAATAAGATTCTCTAATCATTTGAATGATTGCTCAAAATTATTGTGAGACAAGCAAGCAAATAGCATCCCTTCCCCCCGAATAATCCATTAGCGGGGCGGGCCATACCACATCCCTGCCAAATAATCATTTTAATCATTTTGGGTTCTAATATATCTCTCTACAAGTGAATGAGCCTTAGATTTTTAAAATAAAGTCTTTCTGCAGCAAGAAAACCAATAAGATGTGACGATTCCAGCATCTCCAATGTGCCCTTGGGCACGTTTCTTTCCCTCTCTGGACTTTAACTCCACGTCTGTAGGCCAAAGAGTCTCCTGGTGGAGAATCAAGGGTCCTTTCAACCCAAGTTATCTGGTTCCATCTTTGCAAAGGAGAAAATAACGTTCATTCCCACCAATCAGACAGTGCCCATGCACACCGTGAAGTGACAGCACTGGTCATGGGAACCCCCACACCTATTTACGGTCCCCTCCCCTTCGCTGTGGCAGCTCTTCCCTCCTGCTCTGGACTCTTGGTGCCTCACGCCCTTCGCAAGAAAGCATCTTACAAACATATTCAAGCTAAACTTTTTAAATAACAGGGAAAACTTAATGTGTTCTCTCTCCAAAAGTATATACATTTTCAATTTTCAAGTTAACAGAACCATTCCGTATTTGTGGAATTTTCAACATTGACAGTTTGTGGGGAGGAGGGCCTGGGGACGGAGGGACTGACTCATAGGGCTTCGCAATGGATGGCTGTTCTGTGCTACGTGAATCACGTCTACATGGGGCCGCTTCCACTGCCCGATCATCCCTGTTCCGCAAGTAGAGCCAGCCTGTTATTGTCTTTCTTACCAACACTTGTATATTTTACATATTTGAATTATTTCTTTTTTCCTTCAAATAAATTGTTTGGGTTTTTTCCTGCCCACCTTTGCTTATGGGCAAAATACTCTCCCAGGAATGGAGTTCCCTTAGATTATAGATATCTTCAAAACTCTGGGACGACGTAAAATATTGTCTTGTCTTCTCTTCCCCCATTCAATTTTGCAATGACAAAAAATTTAAAGTTGTTATGACATTCTTTAGACTTTGCCATGGGTACTGAAGTCTTCTCAATATTTTATTGTAACATAAGTTGCTTTATCAGTGTCAGATGTGGTGTGTTTATATATGTGGTGACATTTTTAAATGATTTTATATTTAAGGATTTTGGGCCCGTGAAGTTGGTAAGATGATCGGACTAGAACATCCTCTCATCCCGGTCCAGCATCAATATCTTGTCACATCCACTATACCTGAAGTGAAAGCTTTGAAACGAGAACTCCCTGTGCTCCGTGACCTGGAAGGATCTTTTTACCTCCGACAGGAAAGGGATGGGCTTTTGTTTGGTCCATATGAAAGTCAGGAGAAAATGAAAGTTCAGGACTCCTGGGTCACCAGTGGAGTCCCTCCAGGTAGGTTCAGGAAATGGAAGTGCGTGCATGTCACATATAGGCATTTTATCCTCCCTGTGGCTGGGGGCTGGCTACAGGATAAGATGGCACCATAATACTGACCAGCAGAAGCCTGGGACATTGGAGGCAAGGGGTTTGAGGGAAGCTCTGTTCTCACGTCCCTTTGAACAATGACAGCAGGGAGTAAGAGAAAAGAGAGAAGAGGCAGTTGGTGGTGGAGAAGCTGAAGAAACATATTCCCCCCGCTTTGGAAGTTTCCAGGTAATGTTTACCTGCCCACACCAACCTCCTGCCTCCTCCCCGTTTCCTCACTCCCCACCTGCTTGGTCTGGTTTCCAGATTTGGGTAGAGCTGCTGTTGTGCTTTGGCAGTTGGAAACAGGACAGGATATCCAGCCTGCTAAGAAGGCAAGCCTGAGGGTCTATCACAGGGCAGGGTAGGTTGGCGCTGCAAACGGAAGCCCTCCCCCACTACATAAATGGATGTGGAAAGGGCGTAGGCCTCTCTGCTAAAGCAGGAGGTACTATCGTTTCTCTTCCAAGTTCTGTAAGGGAGAAGGACCTGTTTCTGTTTTTCATGAAACATTTCCGCAGAGCCAGATTAAAGATTGGGTCACATAAGGAGGTACCTCAGGTTTTAATCTATAAAAGGAGCTGAAATGTCCTTGGGACACTGAAATATTATAGAGGATATAAAGAAAAGTAGGAAATTGTACTTTCCAGAATTATTCTTTGATGAGCTACTTGGGATAGGGACGGAATCCCTCCGTCCTTCCCCTCAAGGAACATCTCTGCCCACGTCACAACAGATGATCACTCAAGTGCCTTCCACGGAAGCTGCGTCGGCCAGCTGAGGGCTTTAGTTCTGCTGAGTGGACTCTGCACATTTGGGCCTGAGCGAAACAGCTCCTGATGCCAGAGGGAGGGCTGATCTGCCACCTCAGAGCCTCCCTCTCTGCTCTTCCCCTTTGCTGGCAGCCTTTCCTCCAAATAAATGTTGAGCCAATATTTAAATGATTCCAGTTGGAGGGAGAGCCAGATGGTTGGCTGGCCTTGGGCGCCCATATGTCCTCGTCCAACCCTGCTGATCTGCAGGCTTCCGTGCCACTGACCCAGTGCGCAGGCCACAGGAGGAACAAGAAGCAGCTGGCTGGCTGCTGGGTGGGAAAATCACCTGTATAGGCAGAGACATTCTTCTAGAAGCTCATCTGTGGCCCTGCCTTCAATCATGGTGCCTTTTAGGACTGAGAAGATGGTTGTACTCCAAGACCCCGAATCTTTTTTTTTTTTATTTTTTTATTTTTTATTTTTTATTTATTTTTTTATTAATGTTATGATAGATTACAACCTTGTGAGATTTCAGTTGTACATTTTTGTTAGTCATGTTGTGGGTACACCACTTCCCCCTCTGTGCCCTCTCCCCACCCCCCCTTTTCCCTGGTAACCACCGATCAGATCTCCTTATCAATATACTAACTTCCACCTATGAGTGGAGTCATATAGAGTTCGTCTTTCTCTGACTGGCTTATTTCGCTTAACATAATACCCTCGAGGTCCATCCACGTTGTTGTGAATGGGCCAATTTTGTCTTTTTTTATGGCTGAGTAGTATTCCATTGTGTATATATACCACATCTTCTTTATCCAATCATCAGTTTCTGGGCATGTAGGCTGGTTCCACGGCAAGACCCCGAATCTTTTCACAGAATTCTAGCCCTCCGATATGTGTGGGAGCAGTCTTGAGGAAGGATGCCTCTGTGCCATTCCTTCTCTGCCGAGAATTAAGAGGTGTCTGGAATCCATCATCCTAGATCCTAGAGGAGTTTTCCATTTATTCCCAATGTCCTGACATGACTTTGTAAACTGCCATTTGCCCACGCCTGGGAGGATGAAGCAGACTGGTACAATTAATTGAAGGACAAAAGATCTCTCTTGACAAACCAAATTATTGTTGTTTGTTTTTTAAAATTGCGATTGGGTTAAATATTGGGAACTGTTAATATGCATAAATTTAAATGTTCTATTAATTAAAAAGGTTAACTTTCATGATTTTATTCTTTCAAGAGATAGCACTGCTGTCACTAATATAATGGGTACACATCTATTGATGGTGAATATTAAGTTTGAACTTAAAAAAGACAAAAGGAAGTACCTTTATAACGTCCATCTTTAAAGGCCATCTTTAAATGTATGCTGATTCAGAGGTTTAAGTCACTTCAGAGTACTTGTCAGTGCAGATGTGGCGTCCTGACCAGAAGGGTGTGTCTTTTCAGGTTTTGGAAAGGAACTCTTTGAGTCTGATCTGGACCGAATCACGGAACACGTTGAAGCTGCTATGGAATTGGTTCCAGTCTTGAAAAAGGCGGACATCATCACTATTGTTAATGGTCCTATCACCTACTCTCCTGACATTCTGCCTATGGTGGGGCCCCATCAGGGGGTCAGAAACTACTGGGTGGCTGTAGGCTTTGGGTGAGTATTTCCATGTAATTCAACATTTGTTGAAGAGTCACATATTTTAGATAAGTATTGTCCCATTTTTCAGACCAAAAATGGAAAATGGGGGGGGGGGGAGAAACTGTTCTCCCTTTCATGACCCATGAAATTGGCGGAATGAAAAATTTCAGTCTTACAACCCAGGCTATATAGTGCTTTAATCACTTGTATAGGTTTTAATGAGTCACACAAAGAAGGGCAATGATGTCCTGAAACTCTCTTTGCATATTTCTTGCCATTTCATTATTTGTGTCTCTTTTCATGCTCTGTATGTTCAGACAGGTCAATTTGCTGCAATTTTACAAGGATGTTTTCATAACACAATGTGACAAAGATAATTCAAAATATCAAATGTGTAACATATCTGATGCAGTTTTCACCATAATTTATGTTTGTCTAACATGATTTGCTTCTTTGTGATTCCTTGGGTTGCTTACTATTTATGATTTCATTACCCATTTGATGTTTCATCTCTAATATTTGTGCCATTAACTTGGTGAATATTAATATCAAGCCCACTTTACTATCATGTCACAGCTTCTAATATTCTATTTTTGTTCCACACTTTATTTGGCCATTTATTCAGCTCATGTTTAATGATTGCCAGCTCTGTGGCAGGTCTAGTGGTAGGCACTGGGCTACAGCTGGGAATAAGGCAGTGAGGTCTGACTGGAGGTGCAAGGCTGGTTGGGGTGTTCTTCTGCCGAAACAGTAGAGAGGCTAGGGTCTGAACTAAGGAAGCAGCAGTGGGGACTGAGAGAAGGAGGTAAAATTATTTAGATTTGGTGATCGATTGCATTAGGTCTTGAGGGAGAGACAAAAATGGCAAAAGATGGCAACCTTTCTAACTTGACCCCTGGTTGGATGCTGGGGCCATGGGGAGAAAGAACCAGGAAAATAATGAGTTCCATTTATGACAGGTTGGGTTTGAAGTGTTGAGTTTAGGTCTGTAGGACATCTGGAGGGAGAAAACCAGATGGAGACAAGGGGCTGGAAGGTATAATGTAACTGAGGGCTTACGTAATCACCTACAGAGTCCACATGTCATCATGTGCACGTGGGAGTGTTTGTCTTGTACATCACTTGTATATCTTCTTTGAATAGTGTCTATTTGTATCCTTTGTCCATGTTAAAAATTGGATTATTTGTCTTTTTATTGTTACGTTTAGGAGTTTTTTATATTTTCTAGATAAAAGATCCTTATCAGATACACGATTTGCAAAATTTTCCTCCCATTTTGTTGGTTTTTTCACTTTCTTGATGGTGTCCATTGAAGCAAAAAAGTTTTAAATTTTGATGAAGTGTAGAATGTGTATTTTTTCTTTTTTTATGTAGTTTTGGTGTCCTATATAAGAAACCATTGCCTAATACAAGTTCATGAAGATTTCCACCTATGTTTTCCTCTAAGAGTTTTATAGTTTTAACTCTTACATTTAGGTCTTTGATCAGTTGTGAATTAATCTTTGTATATGGTGTGAGGTAGGTGTTCAACTTTATTCGGTTGTCCCGGCACCATTTGTTGAAGACTATTCTTTCCTCATTGAATTGTGTTGACATCTGTGATTTTTTTTCTGGCACCGCTTCTGATACCAACATCCAATTCTCCAATTCTCTGACACCACCTGAGTGTCCAACAATTCAATTCAATTCTGATACTAACTCCCAGAGTTAGTGCAGACTCCACTGGTTAAGGACTCAGTCCCACAAACTGCCCCAACTTTGGACACCAGTTGCAACTTCCAGGGATCACCTGTACTTCTAACTGACCAGCTGTAAGTTTGGGGGTTCCTACAACCTCCTCCTGAGATTTGCTAATTCAGTAGAATGGAACTCAGGAAAACACTACTTATGTTTCCTGGTTTATTATAAAGGATACAACTCAAGAACAGCCAAATGGAAGAGACGCATAAGCCAACGTGTGGCGGAGGGTTGTGGTGCAGAGCTTCTGTGCCCTCTCTGGCACACTACCTTCCTAGCATATCAATGGGTTCACCAACCTAAAAGCTCTTTGAACCCTGTTGTTCAGGAGTTTTTATGGAGGTTTCATTACATAGGCACAATTGATTAAATCATTGACCATTGGTGATTGGACTTCTGGTGACCAGCCCCCATTCTGAAGCTAGCTAGCCCCCCTCCATTCCTCTCCCATTGAGCCATCTCATTAGCATACAAAAGACTATAAATTCCAAAAGTTTTAGGAGCTCTGTGCTAGGAACTGAGGACAGACACCAAATATTTATTTATTTTTATTATACCACAGCATCCTTGTCAAAAATCAATTCACTATGTGTTTATGGGTTTATTTCTGGACTCACAATTCTATTCCATTGATCTATTAGTCTATCCTTATGCCAGCACCACACTGCCTTGATTACTATAGCTTTATGTTAAGTTCTGAAATTGGGGAGTGTGAATTCTCTAACTTTGTTCTTTTTCAAGATTGTTTTTGCTATTCTGGGTCCCTTAAATTTTCATGTAAATTTTAGGACCAATTTGTCAATTTCTGCAAAGAAGCCAGCTGGGATTTTAACAGGGATTGCATTGAATCTGTAGATCAACTTGGGGATTATTGCCATCTTAACAATATTAAGTCTTCCAATTCATGAACATGGGATGTCTTTCCATTTATTTAGGTCTTTTAAAATTTCTTTCAACAATGATTTGTAATTTTCAGAGTATAAGTTTTGTGCTTCTCTTGCTAAATTTATTTCTAAGGATTTTATTTTTGATTCTGCAATTGACTTAATCACAGAATTATTGACTTAGTAAACAAAGATTTGTGAATCATTGACCGTAAGCCATGTTCTGACCTGTGAACAAGCAGACAGTATCCCTGGCCTCATGATATTTATACTTTAATGGAACACCTGTTACTAATTGCTGAGGAAATTAGGAAGCTGCTTTCTTTAGAACACCAATTATTTATTACCTAGAAATTGTATCTATTTGCACAGGGCTGATATCGGACTTCTGCTCTGATCGCTCTGGGTAATTTTCCCAGGTTGTAGACATTGGAAGGGGAATGGGGAAGATGACAGGTGTGGGGGTGGGCAAAGTGCCTCACTCCCTTTGACCGAAAAGGCCTTCTTGTTATCTAAAAGTTGAGATTGCTAAAATACTTCTTATGTAAGTTGATGGAATGCTCACATTGGCTGCCCCTCCCGGCTTGTAACAGTGATCCATTGCATGGTTCTGAAGGCCAGTGGCTCCCATACCTGGCTGAGCACCAGAGTCGCCTGATGGGGATGTTAAAAAGCAGACTCTCAGCTTTGGGGTTAGTCACTTGTGTGTGTTTCATTCTCCTTGACATCTTACCTGCGAAATTCCCATTATTTGTCACTGGGACCCGTGAAAGATTTGTTGAGTTGGAAAACCAACAAGCAAACAGATTCGCAGATACCAGGCCTGTGGATTCTGATTCAGTCGTCTGGAGAGGGGCCCAGCAATCTGCATTTCCACGTTGTCTGTTATTCTGGTACAACCAGTCCAGGGAATAGGTGTTTGCAAACTGTCGATATATGCACCAGTGCTCATTTATCTTACTCACAGATCACCCGCAGTCAAAGCTGGTTCACTTTTGTTTTGTCACAGTTCTAACAAGTTTTTCTGCTTTGAAGTGACTAACACAATACCCCCCAAAATGTTCAATGATTTCTATTGACTTGAATCTAGTTTTCTTGGGTTATAACAGATTATAAACAGCAAATTTCAAGAGGGGGAGAGTACAAAAGATGTAACGTCTGACAGTTTAACAGAGTTATCTTAAACAGCAGATGCAAACACTCAAAAAGACAGCAGCTGGGCCGTTCAGAAGAAGCGGGGTCTGCAGATTAAGGCTAGACATAGAAGAAGAACCTGACTGTCCCCTCCTCAAGTTCCCTTCCACTTCTGCTTCACACATGGCTTCCTTGCGAAAATCTTATCGACTGGGCACAGGCAGACTCTGTTGGTTATACAAGGGCCCAGCCGCCACCAGGTATTGCTTGTCTACTATGGGCCTTTAAATGCTGTGTCCATTAATTCTCCTCCAGCACTATAAAGAAAGTGTGCACAAGAGAATACTAAAGCTCAGGGTGGTTACACGACTTGCCCAAGGTCACATAGCTCGTAATGGCAGAACAAAAGTCGCACCCAGATCTCTCTTACTCCGTGCTTCCATAGTTTTAGCTACTAAACCAGAGGCTCTCGATAGATGTTTCATAACACTCAGCTGTGTGGCATTTTACATATAACTTGTTAAAGGTTAGAGAGCTGAAGTTTGTAAAACATTTACTTTTTAAAAATAAATTAGATTTGATTCAGGATTATCCTCAAATAACAATACTCTGCCCCATGCATTTGCTCGTGTGCATTGTTGAAAGGGAAAGAATGTGGTGGTGTAGCAGTGAGACCACAGAAAACGGAAGTACAACCCTGGCTATGCCCAAGGAGTCTGCCAAGGATGTGAATTGTATCTGTCATGTGTGTCTACACTGAAAAAAGATTGAGAACCTTTGAAGAAGTAAGGTCCAATAACAGGGAGTGTACACTGGGGTCAGATGACTGAGTTTGTATCCTGACTCTGCTCTTTACTGCTGTGTGACCTCATTTTACCCCTGTGTGCGGGTTGGTGTTCTCACTGGTGAAACAGAATTGCTAAAGAATGTCAGCTGGTACATGTTAGATAGAAACAATGCCTGGTAAGTGGTATGCACTCAATAAATGTCAGTAAAACTTTATACAGTTTCAAGTCTTGTGAACAATATTCTAGCTCTCAAAAATGGCAGCTGTTGTATGTCATGTGTTGGGCTTCGTTAAGTGAATAAATATTTTAAGCATATATTTCAAATTATTTTAAGCATACATTTAGTAATTTTTCTTGCTTTCTTGAAACTTAGATTATTGGTGGGTAATTTGGATGACCCATGTCTTTTTTTAAATAAATTAACCAGAGACGTGTAAGTTGCTGGCTTTTTATTCTGCTTGAGTAATATCCTTGTAACAAATTTAGGCGTTTACTTTTATAAAATAGCAAAACTGGTATCTTGTTGTGGGAAAAGTTAGTTAACATTTCCAGGCTTTGCTAAGGTCCTCCAAGCTCTTAGAACCTGTGATTCTGGCTGTTAAGCTGCTGTCATTTGGGGTACTAGAATTTCTTGCATTTTGAGGCCTGCTCACGTAGCTCCTTTTCTTGGTCATCTTGCCTTGACTTCCTGCTCATCCAGTTCCTCAGAAGCTTCTCTTGACTTAGCACAGATAAACCCACAGTAAAGTCCTTCATTAGACAAAAGTGGGTGGACAGAACTACATATGGCCAGTGTTAAACTGTGACCCCTTCATCTGATATCAAATTATTTGCCACAATCATGTTTTTGGTTTTAAATCATCTTCATATGGAAATAGAAAATCAGCTCACCCTCCCCACCAAGTGACCCATTAATTGCAAAATATGGGGGCCAGTGTTCCTTTCCCCCACCTCCCCACAAGTTCCTAGGTGACTGCCTCTTTGTCTGAATGCTTCTAAGATAATGGCCCAAGATCCTTGCATGAAGGCCATCGCCTAAGGGGACCTGAACTAAAGTGAGTCTGAGAAGAGATGGGCGTGCCCCTCTACAGTGTCCATATTTCTCCTGCAAGGCTCCTATCAGTCAGGATCATTGTAGCTCAAGAGGGCTGATAAGGTGCCAACCAAAACTGCCTGTTTAGTTCCTTTCTCCCATTTTCCTAAAGTGAGCATCCTTACTAGCTAAGAGTCATAGGCTATTTTGCAGGTATGTATCTCTTGAAGCTGTGGGAAGAGACTAGCTATCAAGTCAGGCACATTTAATTTGGATGCCTAAACATGTATTTTTTTGAGGAAAAAAATCATAAAGATTATGTTGATTGTGTATTCTGAATAGCACAGAACGCTCCAACTTCGAGGGCCTGTAAAATGCTTGGATGTATTTCATTATTTGAAAACAACACATGTCAGTAACAGGATATTTTATCTCTGTATTTGAAAGATATGGCATAGTCCACGCTGGTGGGGTAGGGAAATATCTCAGCGACTGGATCCTACATGGAGAGCCTCCTTTTGATCTGATAGAATTGGATCCCAATCGCTATGGCAAATGGACAACAACTGAGTACACTGAGGCCAAAGCAAGAGAGTCATATGGATTCAACAATATTGGTAAAGTGCAAATTTACTGCTGTCTACAAAGTGTGCACAGAATTGACTGGCAGCGCCTCTGACTTTAGCTGCTTTTTATTCTGTATGTGGTGGTGGGAGTGGTTAGGGATTCTGAAAAGCATTGTTCCTCTAAGGCACAACCGGGAATGTATATATTTAGTGTGTGGAGTGCATCAGTGATTTTAAGTTTTAAATCTACTTTTACTTTACCATTTGATGATCAATATAAATGACAGCTTTGGGTTTTTTTTTACATAAATTTAATACATATATATGCTTCTGGATTTTAAGTACTATGTTTTCCATTGTCTGAATCCCTTCAAAGTATCTTCAGTTTGGTTAGATGCTCATTAGAGCACCGGTTTTGCTTTTCTAGTTGGTTATCCTAAAGAAGAACGGTTTGCCGGGAGGCCAACTCAGCGAGTCAGTGGCCTTTATAAAATTCTGCAGTCTAAGTGTTCCATGGGGTTCCATGCGGGCTGGGAGCAGCCACACTGGTTCTACAAACCGGGCCAGGACACTCAGTACAGGTAAGTGAATGACTTAAGCTGCCGGTGGCTCTGACTGCAGAATGAAGTTCCGGACCTGGAATGGAGGGACATCAGGGGAGTGCTGGTTCCCCTGCCGCCCCATCGCACCACCCCATTCCAAAGAGCATTGAGCCTTTTCCTACGAAAACTATTTTCTGGCAGGAGAGGCATTAGTCTATCCCACATGACATTGGCCCATATCTAGGAACCACATGGCCCTGATAGTCCTACAACCAGCCCAGGTGAAGCCTCTGTTTGGTATTTTCCGGGAGCTCAGAGGAACCTTCCCCACCCCTCCAAATCCACACATGGCTGCCATTGGCTCCAAAAGATTTGTCCTGGTTTAGGGTGCCTAGTTGAATCCCCAAATATGGAAATAGTAAAAAAAATATGGATTTTTTTAACAAGGAATAGCTCAAAGCAACTGCTTTGTAGTGTGTGTGCACTGAGTGATGCAAATTAAATGCACTGTTGATACATTAGGGGAAAAGATCATTTACTTAACGTTTTAGGTTCAGCTGAAACATAAAGCGTGTCAGTAAAACAACTCTGAATTGTCTAAAGTTATTGCCATTGTTGTACTTGGATTACATGCCATTGTTGTACTTGGGATTAATAATGATTATATGTTTTCTCCTGAGAATCCATAAACCAAGAGAAAACAAATCAGAAATCTAGAAATTGAGTTACCTTCTTTTTGACCTGTCATTTTGCTTATTTAAACAGGTTGTTATGTCTACTTTAAGATCCTATCTAAATGGTGCAAAGTCTCGTAGAGGGCCAGTTGTTGATTGATGTATTTGGGCTCTGCAGGTAGCCAGTCTAGATTATCTGGGGGCAGCATACGGGTTTGGTTTTCCTAAATGACTCAGATAAATGCCAGACCTAGTCTTCACCTTGTGCTCTTTGGATCTGGCCTGTTTATCCTACTATTTTAATCATTAAACTACTGAAAACTCATTTCACTGACTTAGCATCCTGCTCTAAAGTTCAAATACCACATTAGCAGCCCGCTTGGTAAAGTAGAAAGGACTCTGCAAATGAGGCAGGAGACCTTTGTGCCAGGCCCGGCTCCATCGTTAACTAATGCAAAGGCCTTGGAAGTCACTTTGTGCCTTTTCTCTAAAAAATGAAGCTGTTAGACCAGTTCTTGCTTACCCAGGAATGGGCCACAGCATGAGCATCACCTGGGAGCCTGTGAGAAGGCAGGATACAGGGCCCCACCGGAGACCTGCTGCATCAGAGCCTGCATTTTAAGAAATGCAAGTGACTCATATTTGCGTTACTGTTTCAGGAGTACTGAACACGATAGCTCCACCTCCTTCTATTCTGATTTAATTAGGTTCCAAAAGACTGGTATTTTTTAAATGCTCCTTGGGTGATTCTAATTTGCAACCAAAGTTGAAACCCATATGACTGGTTGACTTCTAAGCTCTTCAGATCTGAGTGCCCACGCGTCCTATCTTATTTTCTAGTTAATTAATACTTCACTCACTATAAAGTGGGTCAAAGAGATAGATGAGTAACTTTAAAAAATCAGATTCCAACATATATGTATGATTTACAGAACAGAATTTTAGGTTGCGTTTCCCCCCCCCCCCCCCCCCCGCCCCGTAATGGGATTTTCTACATGAATAGGGCTTATGAAGATATCCTTATTCTATAATTTTCTGAAACTATTCAAATGACAGTTGTTTTATGACAAACATTGTGTTTCAGGCCAAGTTTTCGCCGCACAAACTGGTTTGAGCCTGTGGGCTCTGAGTATAAACAGGTTATGCAAAGGGTAGGGGTGATTGACCTGTCGCCATTTGGCAAGTTCAACATCAAAGGCCAGGACTCCATTAGACTGTTGGACCATCTCTTTGCAAATGTCATTCCAAAGGTAAATAATCTTACAGGGGTAAAAGGTCCAGGATTCTGGCCTGCTTAATTCTCTATCCTCTCATTGTTTTTAAAACACCAATGTGTTATTTTAGTCTACCTAAAGATTTCTGTATGAACACTAGAACTATTCATCTGACCAAGAGTATTCTGCTAATTTTCAAATTTAAATTTTTGGTGAATGACTTATCCTCCCATGACCTTATAACTTTGCTTAATTGTGTCAATAGGAACTGCAAAATTGGAGTGTAATTTTTATGACAAATAATTGTAATGACCATTTAATCTGAGAACTTCAGAATCAATCTTGGGTTTAGGTTTATAGATAGTTTATACAATTGATGTAAATGATAAGATTCAGATGTTTTTCATTGTTGGCACCCATATTTTAATTTCCATGTTGTGTTAAAAGGATACAAAAGATTTTTACTCTATCCTGAGGTCATTTTAAATTCTTTTGTGTAGGTGGGTTTTACAAATATAAGTCACATGTTAACACCCAAAGGTCGGGTGTATGCTGAGTTGACTGTTTCCCATCAGTCTCCTGGGGAGTTTCTGTTAATAACTGGTTCTGGATCAGAACTTCATGATCTTAGGTAAGTGCACACCTAGTCAGAAAATTTTATATGGACTATGTTGACTCAATCTTGCACTGAGTTTTTCTTTTACCAGTAGTTGAAAGTACAACTTTAATTCTTAAACCTTATTGTTTCAAATAAACATCATGTCTTTTATAGGAAATTATTGGAAGTGAGGGGCCCTGTCCCCACTCCCCTCCACAAGGTAATCCATCCATAGGTTTTACTAACTCCCACTTATTAGGCATCATCGATATGTCAGAACCCTTTTTATACATTATCTCAATTTATTCTCTTAAAAGATATATCTGCGAGGTATATATTATTCCCATTTTCAGATAGGAAACTGGAGTTTGGGTTAAAGTAAGCTGCTCGAGCCAGTCTTCCGACTCTGATGCCGTCATCCGGTCCACTTCAGTGAGCTGCCTTCCTGGGCGTCTTCTCCGTTTTCCATGCTTTGTGCTCTCTGTCCCACAGCTAGATCTAAGCCATTGACCTACCGAGTCAATTCTTCACATGAGCCTTTAGTCTACCATCTCGTCTCCTGTAAAATCTGTAGTCTTTGGTCTACTATTCCAAAAATATTTGAAATATTATTGTTTAATCAATGTCTTACTCTGATAAATTCTCACTCTGGTTGTAAAACAATGTAAATAATGTGCTCCAAATAATATGACTGCAAGTGTTGGGAGTGAGCTTAGCTTAGCCTTGTGAAAATCCAGAAGGTCATTTTATGTTAGACTTATGTACCTCCAGGGACTGCTCAATAAATTATAAACAAACCCTATAACTGGGTTCCAATGATTCATCAAGACTTAGAAATTGATACTTGTCATTAGAATTTTTATCTTTTCCTTATGATTGTCAAAGCAATTGTGTGACTGGTGGCAGGCACTCTACTAACCTTTAGCCACACAAGTGTGCCTCCTATGTACAGGTATTAGAGAAAATTGGGGTTTAAATTAATTTTTGAACATTGAATCATTAGTTTAAATGCAATGGGTCTGTCACTATTTAAAAGAATTGTGTGGTAGAGCCCATTTAAATAGAAGGATCCTTCTGTACTGTGAACAATTATCCCCAAATTTATAAGGGGGAGGTTAAAGAGGATCACTTAATGTCTCTGGGACTCAGTTTCCTCAACCTTAAAAATTAGGTGATTATATGAAATGGCGCTCTGGGGACTTTTGGGTAATTCTAGACACAGAGAATGTCTTCAGAGAGATAATATGTTACCAACATGCATTATTCAAGAAAGATTTAACACAATGTTTATGACTCAAATGCAGATGGATTGAAGAAGTGGCAGTCAGAGGCGGATATGATGTTGAAATTAAGAACGTAACTGATGAGCTTGGAGTCCTTGGAGTTGCAGGGCCACAGGCAAGAAAGGTCCTTCAGAAACTGACCTCTGAAGATCTTAGTGACGATGTCTTCAAGTTTCTTCAAACCAAGTCTTTACAGGTTTCCAACATTCCTGTCACTGCTATTAGGATATCTTATACTGGTAAGAATTGGAAAACAACCTAGAGTAAGTCTCTAAAATTTAAAATAAGCGACTGGAAATGCAGGCATGTGCATACACCCACACACAGCTGCTTCTGTCAATGCAACTTTGGAGGGAGATTTCTCCTGCCCAACACTTAGGACAAGTCTGTCTATTCGCTCCTACTCTGAGAGAGTCATTCCATAGACTGTTGTTCCAGTCCCAGAGCTGCCTATCATTTGGAAGCGTGGATAAGAAAGTGGGAAGAGGATGCCTGTTGGAATAGTTGGAAGCGTTGACAGAATATTCAGGCCAGCTGACTTTGAATGGGAACATTCAAGATGGTCTCCCAGAGGTAGAGTCTCCCACAGAGACCATCTTGAATTTATCAGGCACCTCTTCAAGCATTACCACTGTCCGTCTTTCCTTCTAGATTCTAAGTGCTTTAGAGAAGTCTTCATATAGCACCTAACCTTCTGCATAGTAGGTATTCAAAACAGAGATGCGTGAATGCTCTTCAGTCCCCCGTTGGTGCTCTGGGCTTCTAACTTCGTCTAGATCTAGCTGTCCCTCCACAGAAGGAGTACTTGGTGCCCAGGCATTCATTCAATTACATGTTGCCCATGTTCTGGTGGTGTTCTGGAAAAACATCACCAGCAGCCCTCGACACTGGGGAACAAGGAGAACACACAGGATGAAGGCCACCGCTCTTCCCTGGGCCTCTGCTGTGCCTCTTCCCACCCTTCTTCCACCTTCCACCTTCCACCTTCTTCCACCTTGGCAAAATGGTGACCAGAATAAAACATAAGCAGAAGAAAAAATAAGAAGACTATTTGGGTCGGGTTTCACTTTCTTTGGTTTTGGCCCACAGCTCTAATGGTGAATGAAATGATCAAGTGGGGAAGAAGTGAGGAGTAGGGGGGCATTACAGACTATGGCTATCCCACAATGAAGATCATTTAAATAATTGTGAGTTGTCCATATTTTTAAGCCTTGTGATTTTGGGGCAAAGAGTTGCAGGTTGAGGTGTCTAAACCTTGAACCCCTTATCTTGGTAAACTATGGCATGCTAATTACTCATCTAACGTTATGAAGCTGAGGTTAGGGGTCAAGATTAACTTCTGCATTACAGTCTTTCTGTGTCATTAGAAGAGGTGTCTTCCTTACCAGCCCCTGTGTGGGAGACAGGATTGGGCACGAATGCGTCTGTGATATGGCGGGCTGCTTTGCAGTGGGTTTGGTTGCAACTTTTTTGTGAATTGGTCTTTTAAAACTCAACAATGTCTCTGTTGCATAAATGGAATCTCTCCCTTTATTTATGTGTTTTAGCTGATGCACAGTAGACCTGGTTATCATTGCTCTTAATCTGGCATGGCACTTGTGGGTTTTTTTCAGGTGAGCTGGGTTGGGAGCTGTACCACAGACGAGAAGATTCCGCTGCACTTTATGATGTTATCATGAATGCGGGCCAGGAAGAGGGAATTGACAATTTTGGAACATATGCCCTGAATGCCTTAAGACTGGAGAAAGCTTTCAGAGCCTGGGGGTCAGAGGTTTGAAATGCTAGCATCTTCGTTAAAATTTTGTGTTTATTGTATCTAATTTTTATGTAAGGGCTAGTTTTAAGTGTATTAACATTGGTTCTGGCTGTAAGAGAAATTATGTATTATTAGATAACTTTACTTAATTAGGGGAAGAGGTTTTTCCCCTCAATTTCCCAGTTGAAAGTTCAGTGGAATTATGACATAATGTTTATTCTGCCTTAACTCCTCCTGCTTGGCAAGGAGCCCTGGACATCCGTCTCTGACTGTGTGTGGAGCTGTGACTGCTCCAAGGGAGCCTGCCTAGCACAGGATTGGAGGACCACCTTTCAGATTCTTCCTCCCCCTCTGTCGTGCTGTCCATCCTCATTTCCTTCTTATCACGCACCTTTTGGCGAAATAACAATAAAAGGTGTATTTCTGAGGGGCAGGGTGGATGGTGTGGGCTGTGTTGGTCCAGCCTACTCCCACCATTAATAATGAGAACTAAGGATTTCTATTTGTATGGTTGCACACCATTTTCATATGCCTGATTTCATGTACCCTCTCAACTCTCCCTGGAGAAGGTATTGGTGATTCTTGCACAAGGGGTTGGGAGTAGGGGCATCTAAATTATTCCTATTCTACACACAGTTACATTAAGAAACAGTGAGCAACTTGGTCCAGATTACACAGAAGTGGCCAACTTTCTTCTCCTATTTTATCTCCAAAGTGGCAGGGTGTCTCAAGACCTCTTAATTTTTTCGGATTTGCTAGTTATTCCTTGGAAGACTTTGAGGTTTTAGGCCTGGAGGTGAGATGAGGGATAGTGGTAAAGGTGGACTTCGGAGTGGGGACTCCTGGATTTGAATTTATCTTCTACCACAAAGTAGCTACATGGCCTTAACCCTCCAGAGCCTCCGTTTACTTTCCTCTGAAATAGAGATAGTCTTTATCCTACAGAGTTATCATAGATGTTAAATAAGGCGCCTCGCACATAGTAGAATGAAGTTAATTGGAGGGCAAAGTGGGTTTGAAAGCACAGGCAGGGCCCCTTGGGGAGAAGCTTAAATGGGCTTTGAGCTGGATGGGCAGCCTCCTTGGGCAAGCCATCGTTTTGCAGGGGGGGTGGTGCTCTGTTGAGGGATTCTCAGCCTCCAATGGGCACCTTAGACGAGGCTGCTGCAGGGAGAAAAACAGAGGACGGCTGTGTCCACACCCCACAGGAAGGCAGGGCATCAGCAGCCTTTGGGAATGAGGCCCTCTCCACCCTCCTGCCTTTCATTTTCTCGCACCTCCTCTCCGGGAGCCTCCTCTTCAGAGCTTTTCTCCATCTCTGGTCCCTCTGATTTCCCAGCAGTGCCAGCACGCCCTCTGGTGTTATTACAGCAATCAATCTTCTGTGCTTTGTTTTAATTTTTTCTTCATGGAGAAATTCTGAAACTTTGAGCAGATAAAAATAATATTGGAGTTACTCAAATTGATTAGGAAATATGAGACCAAATTTTATATCTTGTAAAACAAGTTCATGTTACTCATCTTGTTTATACAAGGGCTGTGATGTCTTTTTTTGAAAAAACTTTGGCTACTTTGTATGGGATTTAGACCAATTCTCTTGGAGCCAAAGAGACCAATAACAACAAAATAGACAAACAAACAAAAACCATTAACTTCAGGGCTAGTCCCAAATAGTGGCTTTAGCTCCGACTTGAAGTATATTGTAAACCTCAACTGTATTTGACAAGATTTTCAACCTCTATTTTTTCCTTTTCTCTCTTCTGAACTCTGTAGAAGCCATTTTCCTACCATCTGCTTTCTCCTCTACTTATCCTGATCCCTGGATAATTGTAAGATATGTAGATTACTTAATAACTTTTCAAAACCTAACTATGTAAAATTATTGCATAAAAACATATGAAAGTCTTGTTTCTGAAAGGAACTTCATGTTGTGGTATCCCTCGCATGTTTATTATAATAAAAGAGCCATGGAAACAACTGTGAATTTTAGTTTCTAATTTGCTATTCAAATAGCAGTATTTACTGAAAGGCTACATTTGAATTTTAGATTTAAAAAATTACTTCAGAGACCAGTCTATAATTTTCCTTTTTCAGAATCTATATTCAAACTCAAAAAGTGTTCTCTTCTCTAAAAAAATAATATATGAAAGCGATGTTACTGAAATGATTTGCACTCGTCCAAGATTTAAAATATGTGTTTCCCTTTTAGATGAACTGTGATACAAATCCCTTGGAAGCTGGACTGGAATATTTTGTAAAGCTAAATAAGGTACGTTTACATTCCAAAGTATACTTGAAGTAAATCTGAAAATTATGCTGTTCCACGACACAACCATGCTTTAAAATGTAACTAAGTGTGATCGCAGGACAAATGAGTTGAACTTCAATAGTAAGCCTTGCTGAAGGGCTTCATATAAAGCTTTGTCAAAATTTGATATCAGTTCAGGCCATTGCAGTGTGCTTGTAGATATAAGATAGCAGAATCCAGCAGCTTTAAAGACTAAATCTAAATTCTAAGATAAAAATTAGTAGGGGTAAGATGTCAGCGGACATCCTTGTAAATCCTGGTGACTTGTGAAGTCACACATTAGCTCATGAAACATACTGCAGTAATTGACTCTCCCTGGGGGCTCACAGCAGGAGGCGGCCTTGCCTCAGCAGATCTTTCCATCTGCTTATTAAGCATCTTTGTGTGTTACTGCAACATCTGAGTATAACCAAATGACATATTTCAAATGTGTTCAGCATAAAATGGGTATTTACTGACAAGCCAATACAGGCCCATGAATCGTAACCGATACTAACATTCCAAAGGGAACCCCTCCATCAGTGGTTCTCAAAGTGTGGTTCTCAGACAGCATCAGCATCACCTGGGAGCCAGTTAGGAATGCGAATTCCAGGTCCCCTCCTGAACCTACTAAACCAGAGTCTCTTGGGGTCGGGCCAAGAAATCTATGTTTTAACAAGCTGCAGGGGATTCTGATGCGCCTAAAGTTTGAGAAGCACCAACTGATGTAATTATTGTGGAAAAGCATATTATGAAGCCAATTTATTACAGCCTAGCTCATCTATACAGTCCTACAAATATAAATGAGGTTACCCCATTGTTGTGGATTGAATGCTTGTGCCCCTCCCCAGACTCCTATGTTGAAGCCCGAACCCCTACTACCTCCTCTTTGGAGGTGGGCCCTTGGGAGGTGATCAGGTTTAGATGAGGTCATGAGGTGGGGCCCCATGTGCTCTCGTGAGAAGAAGAGAAACCAGAGCTCTCTCTCAGTCCACCATGTGAGGTCACGGTGAGAAGGCAGCCGTCTGCAAGCCAGGAAGAGAAGACTCATGGGGGAACCGAATTGGCTGGCATCTTGATCTTAGACTTCCCAGCCTCCAGAAGTGTGAGAAATAGATTCCTGCTGTTGAAGCTACCCAGCCTGTGGTGCTTCGTTGCAGCCCGAGCTGACTCAGACACCCACTGGGCGGTGTCATTGTTACCATGAGAGGCTTGATAGAGGCGCGGTTAGTGGCAATACCGAAGGATAAGGACAGCGGCTGCTGCTCTTCAGGATTCTCGTTAGAATTCCAGAAATAAACTGGCCTGCCTTAGGGCTAAGAAGCTAAAGCAAAGGCTGTTTTCCCATCCTATGGAAGTATGTGAACACAGGCACATGAATCAGCCTAAGAAAAATTTTTAATGCCCCTGCATCAGTTCCCAAAATTCTAAGCTAAGACAGTAACATAAACATGTATATTTATAGTATTAGATTTTAGGAAAAAGAACCTCCTAAAGGGTTTTAAAGGGAATATCTTTCTGCACATTTTCCCCATGACTTTTATTTTTATGATGTGCCATCTGCCTCCAGACCAGAGACAGCAGGTGCTTGGAATTTGGGCAGACCCTAGCAGCAGACTGCTCCTTCTGATAGCAGAAGTCCTAGCTGAGCTGTTTAAAATCAGGGTGAAAATGGCCGGACTCTTGAAAGCACTAAAGTTCTGTTGTTGGTCACCAGTAGGTAAATAGATGACTGACTCTTGCTTCAGTGTTTGGCTATTATTGTTTGGGGATAAGGCGTGATAAATGATCTCTTCATATTGACAATGGATTTTTAAAACTCCCTTTATGATTATAAGCAGGTGTGGATTGTGCATTTATTAGTTGCTTGCAATTATTTCAATAACCAAAGCTCAGCTCAGAAGTAAGTTGTTTATTAGATAATGACTTTGATTTACGGTATGTTTTTATGATTTCTGAATCATTTGTTCTTGTTCTGGTGTCACACGGTTAATTCTTCATGCTTTCATTGGGTGAACGTTGATGTAGCACAAGGACCTGGCCCTAACCGAGCCAGTCTTTTTCAATCACGTTGACTTGGTGGTTAGTGGGGATCAGCCTAACCCTAGGGTTGCTTGCTAATTTCCAAAACAGGTGAACAGGATGGATCAACTTTGTCCAGATCCTATTTGGTGGTTTCACAGCAACTTAACCTGGTTTTGTAGCAGTAACGTGGCAACTATATAACTGTAGCTAGAACGTGAAACCGATTCCTGAAAAACTTACGTACATTACAAACTACATTCTGTAACTTGATAGTTCAAGTTCTATGCATAGGAACCAAAGTGTTACCCAAGCTGGCTCCATAGAACATTTTAAAGAATAATATAATGCAAGTCCATATTGCTTTGGAAAATTGATGGGATATGAAAAGCAAAGCAGCAGCTAATACAGAAGATTATTTCTATTCGATACAAATAAAAACAAAACAAAAAACCCCCCAAAATCCTGGCATTTTACAACTGTTTAAAATCAATTCTTTCCTTCCCTTCAAAGCAGATATGTAGCGTCCCTGCTTGGCCTGGGAGAGTTTACGCAGTGATGGCATAAGCCATAACATGAAGAAAATACAGAGATGCGGGCTGTGTCCCAGCTCGGAGGGCCCTGGAGTGCTCAGCACCGCCCCCTCATTTGAGGGCGAGAGAGGGAAGCACAAAGAGGTCAAGTGAGCTGGCTGCAGTGCTTTGGGTAGCCAGCTTGAACTCTGACCTCACTGTGCTTTCTCACTCACTGCTTTCCCCAGCAAGGTCCTTTCCCATAATGGGTTTATCAGCCTTGAATAACTGCTCCGGAATTTCTTTTCTGGCAACATATAGCATAGAATTTGCATGGACTATGTTTTATTAATTGATACCTCCCACAGTCATGTTTCTGTTACAACTAACTTTGTGTCCTATGGTAAGATCAGAATAGCTGCTTTGCCCATTTTGAGAAGGAAAACCCGTGGCTGAGGAGATGGGCCACCAGCCCCCATTAGGGTGAACTATTTTCTTGTCAAAACCGGTACAAAAGTAGGGAAAAGAAAAATGGAATATTGAAGAAATCCTAGGTGGCAAAGGAAGGTGGCGTGATGGCACTTGCTCTTCCTGATTTCTTAGGGCTGTGGGAGCCTCGTCCCTCCATGGTGCTGGCTCATGTGCAGTAGATACACCTGTGCATGCATTCATTTGTCCAGTCAACATTTGTTAAGTATCATTTGTTAAACATCTTGCTAGGCCATAGGACTAAGAGGTAAAGGTATAACTTCCGATGGCTGTGAGATCTCAGAAAGCTTGAAATAAATGGTATTTCAGGAACTAAAGCTGTAGGAAACATTCTTAAGGTTAATTCTGAAGACATTCTGCGTTAAGGAGAGTTGTCTAGAGGTACACAACAGTGCCATCTTGTGGAGAGTGAGCAGAGAGCCGGAAGAGAGAGGAAGCCTTGACCAGAACTGTGATGCAGGTAAAAATAGCTGAACATCGACTTCTAAATCTCCTGAACTAAAACGACTTTACCTGAAACAACTCATATCATTGTTATTAATGGCGTTATAATTTGTTCCAAGGAAAATTCCTTTTTGGGAAAAAAATTAGTGGCATTTTTTTTTTTTACTTGGAAATGAAAGAAATGCATTAATTAAGAGTAAAGGAAAATCAAGTGCCTTGAGATGGAGTCGTGAGTATTCTTGGAATTTTCCTCTTGGAATTACTGAGTCCTTTTCCATTTCTGGAGGACCCCAGCCAAGATTCACAGAGAATCGAGTACTAAGTGTAAAATGTTTAAGCGGATCAGAAGAATTATTTTTTTTTATAAGATCTCTCTCCCGACCCTCCTCTTCCTTTCTCTCCATCTCTTTTCCTGTCCTGGGCTTGTAACCAGCAGAAACAGGATAAATGTGATCCATATTAGCCACAAGTTAGAAGACAATGTTCATTCTAGAAAATACAGTTTCTCCCTTGGAGAAAGGATTTTTTAAAGCATAACTATTCAGGAAGCAAAACAAAACCAAAAAAACGGAGTACTCACCACCAGGCCACTACATCCAAGAATACAAAAATGCTAGCATCATTAAAACATCGAAGTGGAAATAAATCATTGTGTATGGATGGCAAGATAGAAAGGAACTTCTGATATGTCACAGTGGCAAAAGTACCGAACTCCATTGGAGTAATAAGAATCGAGGAGGCAGAAGATTTTCACTGACTCTCCGTCTCAGCTGCACGTTGCAATAATCTGGAGTGTGAGTCTTTTAAATCATATGATGCTTCAAAAAATCCCAAGGCTCAGGCTGCATCTCAGGTCAATTTAAAAAGAATCTCTGGGATAGGGACTCAGGCATTAGTATTTTTTTTTTTAATTCCCCAGGTGACTCCAGAAAAGATTGCAAATGATTGCTTTAGACCAATGCTTTTCGACAACTTGGAGAACTTATATTACCCAAAGCCCTCCCTGGAATGGTTCTCAAAGTGTGTTCACAGACCAGCAGCATCAATGTTACTTCAGGATTTGTTAGAAATACAAGTTGTTGAGTACCGTCCCAGACCCCAAAAATCAGAAACTCTGGGGCCCAATAATCTGGGGGGTTTTTTTGAGGAAGATTAGCCTTGGGCTAACATTTAGCGCGAATCCTCCTCCTTTTTGCTGAGGAAGATTGGCTCTGAGCTAACACCCGTGCCCATCTTCCTCTTCTTATGTGTGGGACGCCTGCCACAGCGTGGCTTGGTAGGTGGTGCCTATGTCCACGCCCAGGATCAGAATCAGCAGCCCGCCGAAGTGGAATGCGCGAACTTAACCGTTGCACCACTGGGCTGGCCCCCGAGACAGTCTGTTTTAACAAGCCCTCCAGGTGATTCTGAGGCACGCTCAAGTTTGAGAACACTGACCTAAGCAATTTGATCAACTGGGGAGCGGGGGCCTGGGATTCTTGATTTTATTACACAATGAAGATCGAGAACCACTGT